GGTGGGAGAATCCTCCCCACCCACAACAAAGCGTGTGATCATATGACGTGAAATCACAACGCTTATTAAAATCACATTAGCTAGGTTCACATGACAGCCACAATATTGTTTCTACAGCAAATGCTACTGTGGTGGTAAAGCGGGAAGGCCTATTTAAACACAGACAATCAGAAATTATTATATAAATACATGTTTCATTCATTATATCTGCTTCTAATTTGTCGTGTTTGGCCTTGCTGTACCATAATGAGGGATTTATTTTGGATCTATAAGGGAACTTCATTGCTGATCTTCTCAGCTTTCATCTTCAGTAATAAAAAGACCTGAGAATCTCAGTAAGTGTTAGACAGTGACTATCGGCACCCAAGCTAACCCAAGTAGTGACATGCTTTTAATCATAACAGGATACTGCACCTCCAGAAGCAGTGATCTGGACATACTGAACCCATCCAGCTGGCTGATAATCAGACTGCAGTGTGACTTTCTGCTCAGACCCCTGATCAGCTCCAAGGACGAGGCTGAAGCCGGGAAGCAGAAGGTGACATTTTTCTGCACAATGAGAAACAAACAGAGAGTCAGGATGGGATTTTCCTTTGCCCACATAAGCACACACTTATGCAAATCCTTCCACGGTCACCTTTCAGTCAGTCAACACTTTCTAAACCTTCTGACATAGTTACTGCGCAGATTTATCTTGTGGTGAGCTCTGAAGCAGTTTACCTGAAAGTGCAAGTCCTGACTGGCATGGTACCAGCTGCGGCAGACCAGCGAGGCTTCCTTCCTGTCTGAGGCATGAAGAAAGCTCAGGATGTAGACTATGATCTGCAATGAGGGACAGTAATACAGCATTAGCTTTTTTTAAAAGTGTGATCCATTAAGAGAAAAGTCCACCCCAGGGTAACATGACAGCATTTTATTTAATCAAATGGCAGCATACTGTATGACAGATTTTATTAATGTGTGATGGCGGCAGCCCCCATAGTAGCCATTTTATTGTAGCGAGACAATTTCTGTGAAACGGACATCACTGTATAAAATGACCTACAGTTGCAATCAAATTTATTCAACCCCCATTGCATATTAGGCCTACTGGCAAAATATACAATTTCTCAGCTGTTTGCAATAAACAAATTACACAAGAACTGTTTAAGTAGTTCAATGAAACTAATATTACAAGGGTTTTGATCCAAATTCAACACAAAATGCTACTTTTAATGACTACTGCAGTCTCAAAATTATTCAACCCCTTCATGACAAGCATCTTCAGTACTTAGCAGAGCACCCTTTTGCTGTTATGACCTGCTGCAAACGTGATGCATAGCCAGACACCAGCTTCAGACAGCATTCCTGAGGAATCTTAGCCCATTCCTCATGGGCAATGGCCTCCAGTTCAGTAATGTTCTTGGGTGTGCGTTTTGCAACCGCCTTCTTCAAATCCCACCAGAGATTTTCTATGGGGTTCAAGTCAGGCGACTGTGACGGCCACTCTAGAATCTTCCATTTCTCTTCTGAAACCAAGCCTTGGTGGACTTTGAGGTATGCTTGGGATCATTATCCTGTTGGAAGGTCCAATGACGCCCAAGCTTCAGCTTCCTCACAGACGGCACAACGTTTCTACCTAAGATTTCCTGATACTTGACTGAATCCATCGTGCCCTCCACACGCTGCAGGTTTCCAGTGCCAGAGGCAGCAAAGCAGCCCCAGAGCATCACTGAGCCACCACCATGCTTCACTGTAGGCAGGGTGTTCTTTTCAGCATACGCTTCATTCTTCTTCCTCCAGACATACCGCTGTTCCATAGGCCCGAAAAGTTCCAGTTTTGTTTCATCACTCCACAGAACAGAATTCCAAAACTTCTGTGGCTTATTTATATGGTTTTGAGCATATTGGAGCCGACTTTTCTTGTGCTTTTGGGTCAGTAGTGGTGTACGTCTTGGAGTCCGGGCATGGAGCCCTTCAGTGTTTAGTATGCGCCTTATTGTACAAACTGAAACCTCAGTGCCTGCTGCCACCAAGTCTTGCTGCAGGTGTTTCGCAGTCACTCGAGGGTTTTTGACCACTTGCCTCCTCAGGAATCTGGTGGCAGCTGCTGATAGTTTCCTCTTTCTGCCACGTCCAGGTAGTGTAGCCACTGTTCCTTTAACTTTGAACTTGCGAACTATGCTACAAACTGTATCTCTAGGAACATTCAGAGCTTTTGCTATCGTTTTGTATCCCTTTTCCTTGTTTGTGCAAGGCAATGATTTCTTCTCTGAACTTTTTGGACAATTCTTTTGACTTAGCCCTATTTCTAACATGCAATCAAACATCACTCTCAACAAAACCCTAGCCAGTCCAGGTATTTATGTGTTCTGTCTCAAGCACACCTGAACTAATGAAGCCCTTGATTAGTTGCACCAGGTGTGCTTGAAACAGGGGGTTGAATAATTTTGAGACTGCAGTAGTGATTAAAAGTAGCATTTTGTGTTGAATTTGGATAAAAACCATGGTAATATTAGTTTTATTAAACTATTTCAACTGTTCTTGTCTACTTTGTTTATTGCAAACAGCTGACAAATTGTACATTTTGCCAATAAGCCTAATATGCAATGGGGGTTGAATAATTTTGATTGCAACTGTATTGTGACCTCTAGGATAATCACAGCCTCATGAATGTTGACTATGAAAAACTGAAGACCTTCCACACCCATGGCTGCTATTGATAGTAGGGGGGTCTTGTGGCAGTTCTCAGCACAAAATGCTGCCATCCGATCACAGAAAAATGATTCTTACAGAAATCTCCAAATGTCAAATTTTATGGAAACCAAATTTCAGCATGGATTTTTCTGTGGTGCTCCGCAAGGTCTTGATGCTTTAATTTAGGATTTTGGAGGAATTTTCGACCATTTCAAGCAATTCTCTGGTGGTCAGCAATGTTTAAATTTAGAATCAAATTTGTGTAACAAATGGCATCAACACAAAAATTGCTGCATCAAAATGTTCTAAGCCCTTGCACAATGTAAAATTTCCAAGTTTAAACAGGTGTCTAACCAAAACATAATGTTTGTAACAGATTTTTGACAAGAAAAATTTGACACACAGTGCTGAATCTCAAATTAATTTTCAAATTTCCTGCTTTCAGATGATGTATACCACTTATATGTGGCTTAAACTGTTAAGTTTAGTTTATTTATTTGCATATACATGTTTATAGGAAAGGCAAAGGTAAGAATTTAAAATGTTTTAAGATTGTGCTGGAGAGGTTAGAAGCCAAAAAGGCTTGTTAAAATACCTCCCCTATTAAACAGCAATATTCATTCATACATGAATAATTTAATGATCCAAGTTTCAAGACTAAGAGGTAATAGACTACAGAATTGATAAAAATGTACATAAAAAATACCCCAAAAGTTTGTATTTACAAATTCAGACGCATTACAGATGAATCAATGAAGTGTCATGAGTGCAAATGTAATCACTATCAAATGTTTTTTTTTTTTTTTTAACGATAATGTAAATGTAGCACCTCCTCATCCACCAGGAGAGGACTGTCACTACACGCAGCTCTCATATGCGTGTGACTGTATGAATATGAAGCAGGGTGTTTCTGTAAAAAACAAAAAACAAAACAAAGCAAGACAAGCCAATTCTTGCATTTTTTTAAAAACCAGTACGTTAACTCACCTCCAGAGGCAGCTCGGGTGTTTCTATAATGTCCTCCCCATTGCAGTTTTCCATCTCAGCCTCTCCCTCGTTATAATAAAACACTCCTGACCATCACAAGTGGCTCAACTAGCCCTTCATTAGCTAGCTGCACAAGTTGCGCCTTAAGTTCACTAACGTTAGCGTTTCGACTAATAGTGGCTAAGTAATGAATAGCCGTTGACTCGTGTCATACTTATCCGTTAACTTATCAATAAAATGACCAGTTTCAGCTCAGTGGGGCCCAGTGAGGAGCTGTGTTACCTGCTGTCATTTCCCACTAAGCTACTTTGTACAGTATCGTTAACACAGGCGGTACATTTCCGTCAGTTGCACCAGCTGACAGGCTTTCTCTGACGTCGAAGCGAGGCGGGGCACTGTGGGAAATGTGGTTTTCCTCATGTTCCTCGACCTGTAGCAGGGGGTATGGGGTGTGTCTTTTAAACCACAAAGTCAGTATCTTGACCTAAATAAGTGGAAAATGTTTTTCCCCCTGTCACTGTGGTTGATACTGGTGCTGGAAAGTACCTGTTGGCATTTAGCTACCTTCAAACAGAAATAAACAAGACGTTGTTATCGGTTTGATACAACAAACTACCCCAAAAATGTCCAGTCTATGTAGCCTATGGCTGCATGAAGTTAACAGCACTGGCGGATGAAGTATTCAGATCTTTTGCTTGAGTAAAAGTAGTATTACTACAGTGTATAAATACTCTGTTACAGGTAAAAGTCCTGCATTCAAAATCTTACAATAGTATTATCATCAAAATATACTTTAAGTACCAAAAATAAAAGAACCCATTTTGAAGTTTAATTATTGACACAGTCGAGTTCATCACTTTAAGTCAGCTCTGTCTTTACCAGCTGCTACATCAAATTGCTCCATATACTGCTGGGGGCCTTAACCTGTAAGTATACATTATTACCTATTTGAAAATTTAGTTTATTGATACTTAATATAAATAAATTAAGTAACTAGGGTAACTAAAGCTTTAAAATAAAAGTAGTAGTGGAGTAGAAGTAGAAAATAGCATAACATGGAAATGCTCAAGTACAAGTAGAAACTGTACAGTACGTGAGTATGAATATTGAGTTGAATTCCACCTCTGAATAACAGCATTGTGTTTAGCCGGTTAAACCAGCAACCATATATCTTCAGTCAGGGCATCATGACTATAAATGTTGCTTCCTGTTTTCAGCCGGTTTTCATTGCCTTTGTTTGTGGTTAAAGGTACACTTTGCAGTTTGTCAAGTAGTTTGTCAGGCTTTTTGTCCATCAACTGTCATCGCATGTCAGACACAAAACTCGGGGCAAAATGTGCTGAAATGGGTCATTTATTCACAAAAAAATCATTGACAAAATTTGAAGTGTAAGGGCATTATTATACACACACATTCGAGACCATTACACACTCATCACTCCCCTCACACACACACACACACACACAAAGGAGAAACAACATTGCTAATCCTTTCTACAGATTGTCTGGCAGTATGGTTAGCTGGTTTATGGGCCTGTCTTCTGAGGCTGTGTCAATAATCAAACCATCTATACAAAAACAATCAATCTTACATCATCACTGAGTCCTAAACACATTTACAACACAAATTAAACACCTAGCATTATTAGAGTGTATGTACATGTCATGACACTGTGAAGCAGTACAGTAATTTTAGATTAACCAGAAAATGTGACTCATCTAAAAATCAAAAAATATTTACATTATTGTACAAAACAAACAAAAGGAAACATGAACATAAAAACATTAACTGTAGTTGTAAAATATGTAAAGCAATGGTATTGCATCTATTGATGGCTACATTTTTAATGATTAGTGATATATCAAATGCTTTGAGATGACGTACAATATATATTAGCATGTAAAATAGTGTTGAGGTAATAAGATTCTAGATGATGTTTGAGCTCGCAGTGCTTACAGCTATGATGGTCAAAGACAGACTGAAAATCTCTATAAAATAAAATAGGATGACATCACTTTGACCTGTCGACATTATTTGTAACATATGTTATGATGAAAGTGTGGATGATCATGTTGTTAAAGCCTTAAATACAGCTTTACTAGGTCTGTGCTGTTGTTCAAACCAACTCGTAAAAACATCAGCAGTGCAAGCTACTCACACCAACACAACACAACAAGGTAAATAACAAAACATGTAAGGCAAAATGTTCTTTCAAGTTTACAAAACAATCTGTAAACAGTCAGCAGACAACAACAGCAAAAACGTTTTTTTATGAGTAAGAAAGACAAGATGTTCACCGTTAAACCACAGCTCATCCTACAACAGATAGTTATGTCGATGATATTTGACACAGACGTGAAAAAATGTAGTGGGCTACAAGGCTATAATGTATAAAATGGGTGCATGCGTCATAGGTCAGTGTGGAATACAGTACTACCTTGGTATTTTTGCAACGAAGCTGTCCCACACAATTCCCACTAGCAGATCAGGCTGACATCAAGATGTGACAGTTTTGCACACGTTAATTAACAACACCTCCTGTCTCTTTCATCTCACCATTCTGACAGTTTAAAGCAGATATACTCAGCAGTGTTCATTCCTTTATCTTCCCTTTATTCCCCTTTGATCACACCAATGTCCCCTCTTCTCTTAGTGATCGTCGTCCAGTGCTCACTTCATGATCTCCTCCTTCCCTTGTCCTTCAAAGAACTATCACAGCTTCTTTTCTTTCCTCTTCCCACCCTCGCTCGCTTCAACCTCACTGACGCCCTCCTCTCTTTGGTCCACGGTGGGCATTTCGTTTGCGTTGCCATGACACTGTGACGCAGAGTGAGGCGTCACTGAGTTGTTGTTGCGGCAACGAGAGGCAGAGCGGAATGCTCCAGAGCTGGCACACATGGGTGACGGTGGTGTGTCCACGTCTCTCTCAGGTCCTGAGCTGGAGGTGGGAGACGGAGGAGGCAGGGAGGAAGAGATGGAGGGCTGGAAGAGAAGAGAGGAGATTAACCTTATATAAAAAGTACACCCTCTTCTTGTCACTGCCACATATATGTTTATTTGGTTGTTCAGGTGTATGTTCACCTGTAATGAGACACTAGACTTGCTGGTGTTCTCTTTGACTTTAGCCAGAGCTCCTTTAAGTCCAGAGGATTTCTCTGTCATCTCCAGGGCTGCTCTCAGCAGTCTGGGGGTTTCCGTCCGTACAGGGGCCGCCGGGGCCTGAGGGGGATGCTTAGCCTCCTCTTTGGGCTCAGGTTTCTTTCCCTTGGTAAGCATCTTCCTGTGATTGAGACAGTAACATGCTTCAGTAATGATTACAAATGTGCAGACAAAGCAACAAAGCTCTTGTATAAGTCCATTTTTGATCTGGTGGCCCTTGTACAATCTGTACAAGACAGAACAGAGACAAAAAGAGAGGTGGTTTCAAGATGATATTTGCTGATGTGTCATTGATTAACCTGGCTTTCTTCCGGAGCAGTTTCTTGGACTCGGGGTAGTGGACCAAGATCTCATTCAGGTCCTTCTTGTCCAGGATGAAGAGATTAGCAAACCCATGGGCGATTACATTCGCTGTGCGTCTGTTACCCCCACCTACTGCGAGCAAACTGCCAATCAGAGAAATTATGGTTGAAAAAGTCATTTTCAAAAAGTCTGACATTTTCAGTTTCAGGAAAGCAAAGTACAGTTTGAATTTTTCATGCAATATTTTTGGGATTTTGTGCAAAAGATCAGAGATGGAAGCTCAGATAGGTGAGAAATCCTGTTCCATTGTGGAAAATGTTAAGGCAATTTTTTTTAAAGAAAATGCCTACAACTCAACACCACCTGGAAAAATCTCTTCACCTGATCTCTCCAAAGACCGATCCTGCTCTTAGAGTGACAAACACTGTCTTCCCATCTGGTCCTCCAACCACCTGCACCTCCCCTGCCTTTATGATGTACATCTCCCGGCCCACTTCGCCCTGAGCAAGAAAAAAGAGAGGCAGAGACATGATGAGAGGGAGAGAGCTAGACACATGTCAAAAACTGAAAATAGCTATCACATGTAGTTTTCCTCTACAAACAAAACAGGTAAGTTTGCCGTCTACCTTTTTGCAGACATAATCCCCAGGCAGGTAGACAACAGAGCGTAGGCTTTTCAACATGTCAAAGATCATCTGTCTGTCGCAACCCTGTCAAGAGGGAGCACAAAAAAGAAAACACTGAGCTCTTGTTGATCTCTCTCTATAACTATCTGTACTGTAGGTTTTAGATTACCTATCTGCATGTATTACACTATGTATACTGTGCTGTTCTTCACATGTGTTTTTAGGAATTCCTACCTGAAAAAGAGGAACTTTGCTGACAATGGAATAGTTGACATCAATAGCAATGTCCAGACGCATTTTATCTGGCAACTGAGTCAGCAGCTCCTGCTCATCTGGAAGGCAGACAATAAGTTGTACAGTATGACTGAAATGTCCAGTGTAAGAGATACACATGAATGTGCACAGACAATGCTCTCCTTACCCAGCATGCCTTGTGATTGCCAGGTGTAGTTGTACCAGGTTTTGACACGGTTCTGCACGTCTTTGGGGATGCGATAGGAGGACATGTATTTAATAGTGCTGTCCACACATGTGCGGTAGTAGGTCTGACCCGCTGTGGCTGCACCGACCACATCACGCATCTGAGAGACAAAACGTGGTGTAAGTGTTTTTGCTGCATCAAGTACATCATAGGAAGAAAAACATACTGAAGTGTTTGATGTTAAATACACGTGGAAGGCACAGATGTCTCCGTTATATTTATATACCTGTCCAATCATGATAGAGAAGGCAAAGACTCCAACAAAGTAGTTGATGAGTTGGAAGACAATCTCGAACAGAGTGGTGGGGTCTGGCAGACCACCAATGGTGATCAGGGTCTTCACCGCAAAGTAGTAACAGCGTATGTAACTGAGGAGAGACAAAACAGGAGGCATTAGAAAGAGACGGGACAAGAAAATGGCTTTAAATGAACACGACTGGTAGGATTTTTAAAATGAATGAGATGTAAAATCAAATCACTGGGCTTCACTTCTGAATTTTCTGTTTTTATCTCAACAGTTGTGCACCACAAATCACTGTCGTAATCGTCAAAAGCAGTCATGTGTGTGTGTTTTGAGTGTGTATATGATTATCCCACCAACCTGTTGCCCTCTCCATTGTACACCCACTTAGTTGATCCCAGTCCTGTGAATGCAGAGCCCCAGTAGTACAGACAGGCATTACAGTGGAGACAGTAAAGAAGGTAGGTGGTGGTGCGGATCACCCTGCGAGACAGAGAGTGACAGAGCAACACATTTGCATAATTTGAATACCTAAAACCAGTTGTTTGTTAATGTGTGTTCAACTCAACGAAGGAGGACAAAGTGAAAAGAAGGATACAGAGGTAGAGAGAAGGGAAGTTAGTACAGTAAGATACCATCAGGCTGCAGCTGACCTGTAGATGTAGGCTTTGGTCAAGATGGCCTCTAAACGCTCATTGAACTCAAAGAAGGAGTTGATCTGAGGAGACATTGATAGACAAAAAAAAAAAATTTAAAGTTTGGTTTCAATTTTTTTTTTTTTTTAAATTTTCTGACATTTGATTTCCCCAACAGATAAATAGAGACTTGGAAATGAGCTTTTCTTTTGTACTTTATTTACTATTATATATTGTGAGTGTAACATTGTTGTGTGTTGCTCATAGACTGTATATAAAGATGAACTACATGACAGCTCTCCAAAAGTGAAGCTGAAACACCTCGATCGTCCACTGGTGGCTGGATGTAGTATTGGTCAACATGACTGACAACCATGTAAGCCAGTCAGTGGGCTTGCATTTAGTCACGATTGGTCGGGCAGGTGTATGGGTGGAAAATTTGATACTGTGGAGACTGCTACTGGCAGACTCTGGCTTTGAAAGACATTACCAGAGCAAGATGGCAGCAGCTGTATCCAGGATATTTTAGCTTAACTTCTGTACAGTGGGGGTAAGTGGAGACGTGTCGTCCATCTTTATATATAATCTACAGTGTGGCTTAGTAAATTTATGTGGAAAGATTCTTAATGTATGCAGGATGAAAAAGGACCTAAGTATCAATGAATATATGAATGTATATATAAATAAATAAGGAATGAATAAATGAATAAATACTGAAATAAACACAGGATCAAATAAATATGGAAATAAATAGATAAATGTATAAAAATAAGGAATACATAAATACTAAAATAGATACAGGAATAAATATATAATAATAATTATAATACATTTTATTTAAAAAGGTGCCTCTAAAAACACCCAAGGTCACCTTACAGAGTAAAAAAATAACATACAGAGAAACAGAAAAATAAATAAATGCGTAAGAATAAATTAATAAATACTTAGTGAAATAAATATGGAAAAAATGGTTAAATGCATAAATAAATACATTTGGATAATTAAACAGGACATAAATACATATTGTAAATGTATTTCTATATTTTTGTACGACTACATTTATTTATTTGTCTTTCTTGTCATGTCCTCATTATTCCTGTCTGTATGTTAATGAGGTAGGAGGTCCTACCCTTTTCATTTACTTTTTTATGTATGCATCTATTAATTTATTTATTTATATATTTTTTCAGGATTCATTAATTCTCTTATTTTTTGTATGTACTTAATTCAGAATTTATGTATTCCTGTATTTTATTTATACATTCATTTATTTATAAATACTTGTGTCATTTTTCATATTTCATGGTTGCCAGATTGCTAATACTGTAACATGTTGTAATGGGTAATATTGTTAAATATTCAGTAATAAACCTCACCTTCAGCAGCCTGGGTAAGCGAAGCAGAGGGTTGATGCCAATTTTGAAATAGAAGAGCTCGAGGGGAACAAGGCTGGCTACATCAAACTGAAAAACAGGAAGTTACAACCTCACTGTCTGTATTTCTTCAGCTACTCAGTCAGTGATTAAATGTGAAGAAGAAAAGCAAATACTGTCAAAATTTAGTGACTTACTTTGAAGCGTTTGGTTTTCATGTAATTCTTTCTCATTTCTTTTTTGTCACACTGTAATAAAAACAAAAAACTGTAGATATAAACAATGATCCTGGTAGATTCAATATTATGGTTTTAAACTGACAGTTTTTACTTAAAAAAGTGATCTATGTATGTGTAAAAAAAATCATAATCTTAATACACAGTACACTAATGTCTCAAATATCAATTCATCTGGTGATAACTAAACTGATCATTTATTTTTTGTTCACTATAAAACAGTGCTTCCTTCGAGCCTGTGTCCTCTGACAAATTTCAGATTCTCACTATGAGATGGCACTCATTTACAGTAACCCAGCCTCCCACTCACCACTATGTCCCCTCCACGAACAAACTGCAGGCGCGGCTGGAAGATGGTGATGTCCAGGATGTAAATAAGGTCACACAAGTAGTCAATCAGCAGCCAGTAGTAAATGTTGTCTGGAGTCTGGTAGGGGAAGGCCCAGCGCACTGGGATGAACCATACGTTCCAGTTCCACGCCAGAGAGACCAAAAACATCCACAGCACGTACATTAAGTCTGAGGACAGAGACGAAGATGAGAGGATGAACAGAGAGGGAGAGGACAAACTGAGCGAATTAGACAATAGGCGAATGAAAGTAAGGAGAGACTGGAGTCATTCAGCACTCACTACACAAGCACCAACTACCATTATATGATGGGAATAAGAGCAAATAAGCAGGATCTAATCTGTATTATAAAGCAAAAACTTGTTTTAGTGCTAAAGGAAAAAGACTGGTGGGAGAGAAATAGACTGGCTCACAAGTCCCTGTGAATGTGAAAAACAGGGAAGCGAAAAGGTGTAAATGACAGATGATTAGGTACAGTAACAGGATAGTACAGTAGATTCACCTTTACCCAAACATTATAGCACTTAATCATTGTATCCTGGTCTCAGATGAACACTACAGGTCAAAAAATATTTCTTGAGAGTTTCCTCAGTTTCCTTCAGGATGAGCATTAAACAACGTACAATTTAATTAATGTGTTATTTTATAAATTTGGTCAGAACTTATTCATTTCTGAGTAGTTTAGGTAAAGAAGATTCTACTGTACACTACGGCGCCATGGGTGGCAGCGGGTGGCGTATTCGGCTGGTTTCTCACTGGTGAAAGGGTCGATGCTGGCGGGGAAGCGGTAGTGCATACAAGCTCGCATCCACCGAGGAGTTTTCACCTTGCAGCAGCGGCTAGACTGCTCCTCCTCTGCCTCACTCTCCACTCCCACTCCTCCTTCTCCTCCTCCTCCTGATGGACCTGCTTGTGCCTCCTTCTCCCCTCCGTCCACTGGCTGAGCTGCAGGAGCAGGCTGAGGAGCTGGAGCCTGAGGAGGAGCTGAAGGGAGGGGAGAGGGGAAAGGGCAGAAGGTTAGAAGGACTCCTGTGAGAGATTTTAGATAGGATGCAAAGGAAAAGTTTTAACATCTCAGTCCTGATCGGAGTGCTACAATTATTACGGATACAAAGGTGTAGCTGAATAATGCAGTGTGTGCTTGCAGCAGATGATGCAGGCTTGTGTTTGCCTGTGTGTAGTGGTCTTTTAAAGGGCTTTTCCGTGTCACAAATGCATTAATGTGAACTTCTTAGGAAGCAAATGTGTTATCTCTTGGCTCAAAATACAAAACAGCACAATCCAAGTGAATCTGGACTCTTAATTGTTCAAAAAGGTTAGAGCAGCAAGAATTGTGCTAAGGATCATATCCTACTAATGTACACTTAGGCCTACACTACAGCAAACGACATTCTGACAGCAACAGACAGACCAGGCTTAGGCACAACTAATACATGTGGAAAAAGAGAAGTACTGTACTACGAACACTAAATTTAACAATCGCTAAAGTCTGTATTATAACAATGTAATGCAAATGTTTGGTCCACAGAGACCTTACTGGTTGTGCATTAGTGCACTGTGCATACTTCCCCTTTTCAACGGCAGGCTGCTGATTTTGTCCTGCATTCTTTCCAAACTTAGATCTGCACGCCTTCTCTACTGCTAAATGTGTGCTATTGTGCTATGACTGATGGCTGGAAACAGGCTTGACAAAATATTCTTAATTTAGGACTATCTAAATCAGTGATTCCCAAAATTTTTAAAGTCACACCCACCCGTTTCAGCTAGAAATGACACTGTGTAATAAAAATGTGTCTTTATGATTCATCATTTGCTCTGACATTTGCTTTTTCTAACTGCTGTGCACAAGGAAACCTCCTGTGCCAGAAACTACATTGTGGTACTGTCATTTAAGCTGTAAACTGTCAAGATCACCACTCATATCTGCGGCATAACTGCATACTAATTTTTCATTTTCAATTTGGTAAAGGCAATATATATTGCTTATTTCTTACATTTTGATGTTTACAAAAAAAAAGAAACATTTTAAAAATGCAAATGTTGCTTTGTATTTTATATGGGGAAAGGGCATTAAAAATGTACTGCAAAAAAGTGTCAGTGAACAAATCTTGAGGCACCCTTACAGGACCCACTTTGGGAAACACTGATCAAAACACTGAGGGTGAATGAGGGACACTGGTAATACATCTTTCAGGGGGAAGGTGGGAAAGAAGCTACTACAGCTACTTCTCACCTGTGAGTGTCTGTCAGTGGGCATTTCATGTTTCTGATGTAGCTTTTTGTGTTTAGGCGGCGGTCCAAGGTGTGGCGGGTACTGTATGACTTAAATGAGCAGACATTTTCTGGGCTTGACTCTTCCTGGAAATAAAATACACCATAACACACGGCTGCTACAATCTAAGTACCACCTTTGTATGTTAGGATGCAAGGTTTTGTGCTGTGTGTCCCTCGCAGCACTACAGACCAGCTCAGTACGAAAGACAAAAAGGACAGAGACTCTAACTCACAGGGGATGATGCTGTCTTCATCTGAGCTGTCAGGGTCAATGAGTTTCTCCTTCGCCTTCTCCGTTCTCTCTTTGAACATCCTGACCAGCTCCTGAAGACGCTCATTGACCACTGTACTGGTCTGACTGGCTGAAGACGCTGGTCGCTCTTTCAGTCTTGGGAAAAAATAAAATTAGATGATGCAGATTTTTTATTACTGTGATTGTCTGTATATTACTGCATGTCAGCACTTTAGTTAAAACTCCAAATTACAGTAAGTACTCACACTTTTGTCATTTACAACTGGTACAACTATACGTTTATTGTCATTTTGTGTATGTGTGTGTGTTTACAGTTCTCACATGTCATCTGAGCTGTGCAGGCTGGACTGGCTGGGCCAGGCTCTGACAGGGATACTTCCTTCATCATCATCATCTTCACTTTGAGATGGAAGCCTCCTACTGTTTAAGTACACAGCAACATCGTTGGTTCAACTTTGACAGTGCTGCCTTCATTAGATTATTGTTTCCTTTACTCAAACTAAAATCCACCTTGATGTGGCTTCACTGTACATCATGTTAAGCAGTGTTTGTGATGTTGAATAGACACAGAATCGAATTAGTCACAATTTTCTGCCTATAAAACGGAAAAATGTCAAAAGAAAAACAATAAAAATGCAACACGTTTTTGCTCCCATTATTAAAATAAAAGAAACTTCTGCTATGCACACAACAGGCTTAGAGCTCTCAAATTTTGCTCACAAATTTGTTAAAATCCATGTTAGTGAGCACTTAACCAATATAATCCATCCACCTGACAGGTAAGGCATACTGTATCTAGATGCTGACTAAACAACATGATTACCACACAGGTGTACCTTGGGATGGTCACAATAAAAGGCCATTCTCAAATGTGCAGCTTGATCACACAACACAATGCCACAGATGTCGCAACTTTTAAGGGAGCATGCCACTGGCATGCTGACAGCAGGAATTTCCACCAGAGCTGTTGCCTGTGAACTGAATGTTCATTTCACTGCCATAAATCATCTCCAATTTCTGAGAATTTGGGAGTACTTCTGTCTAGGGAGTCAGCCTAGGACCTCCACATCTCTCTGACAGATTGTGCAGGAATTCTTTGGTTGCACAAACAGGCTGTTGCATCAGCTGTCAGGTGGCTGGTCTCAGACAGTCTAGGAGGTGAAGATGCTGGATGTGGAGGTCCTGGGATGGTGTGGGTACATGTGGTCTGCAGTTGTGAGGCCTTTTGGATGTTCTGCCAAATTCATGGAAACAACACCGGAGACAGTTTATGGCAATGAAATGAACATTTAGTTAATTGGCAACAGATCTGGTGAACATTCCTGCAGTCAGCATGACAATGGCATGCTCCCTCAAAACTTGTGACATCTATGTCATTGTGCTGTGTGATCAAACTACATGTTAGAGCGGCCTTTTGTGAGCTCATCCCAAAGCACACCTGTGTCGTAATCTTCATATGCAACAACTACCAGGTGGATGGATTATGTTGGCAAAAGTTTTTTTTAGTTTTTGTTCAGTGTATGATTGGGAGGAATGCAAATTAATGAGCACTACAAATGAAATGATTTATTGAGCGAATTAGCAAAGACTAGGCAAATCAAACGGGAAAATGCAATAAATTAATGAGAGGTGATGGATAAAACATCAACTGGGCAGCACAATAACCTTCACCATGAATAACGAGACAGATGGTTACTAGATGAGGCGATGCAGTATTTAACAAGGGTTGCTTTCTTACATCTTTGTCCAGACAGTCCTACGATTCCTTCCACTACTGTCATCGATGGTGAGAACAGGGTTTGAAGCAAGTGTGTATGTTCAAGAGAGAGGGACGGGGAGAGAGGAGGTTTGTGTGTGGTGTGTGTGCCAGGGAAAGCACGACATTAATCCAAGGAACACATTAAAGAAAATCACCTACAGGCAAGTGACACAGTGATGATGCAAGTGCAAGATTGTGATGCATGCATTTATTGACTTTTGCTACGTTATGACAACATCCATACAGTAGCCAAAAGCACAAAAACCCGTGAAAGCCATGCAACATTGAACAGAACATCACAACACAGAACACTCAAATCCACATTAATACACATAAAAAAAACTGTGTTCTGCATAACCACTATGTGCTGGTTTGCTTGTTTGGCCCTTAGTGTTGTTTATGTGCAGCAAAGATTTTGTAACCTTGGGACTAAACTGATTTTTTTTTTTTTTTTTAGATTTTCCTAAGGAGCACATGTGTTTTCTGCAGGACACTTGAATACAGACAAACCACTGTGATGCTTCTACCAACTGTGAGTGTACAGAGGACAGCAGAGGGCAGTAGATCCATATCAAACAGCACTAAACAAAGGGAAAACGTGGAGAGTTTCACTCCAATATGATACATGTAATGATTCATTAAAACCATGAATGATTATAAAACATAATTCTGTGACTTTAATTATTTGTATTTTATCAGCAAATGTTTTATAACTTACAATCTTCAAAATTGTGTGTGTGTTTGCCAGCTACTAACATTTAACTTGATCTCATTTTGGATGAAAACACTCCACCTGCCAGCAGAGAAGCTTGCACCTTTACCAAATATCACATCCTAGTGATGTTACTTTGCAATTCTCTCTTGAATGCATATAAGCTATGTATATGTTTCACTGGAGATTGTTGGAAGAGAATAACAAGCACTACAACTCAAAATATCCATGCAGTTTTCTTACTCTTTATCTCCTTTACTGTAGGTGAAAGCATGAGGGGGGGGGAAAGATTAAAGGTTTTTAACACCTACAGTCAGCCTCACATAATCTTTTATAATAAGACATGAATTATCCATCGCTGGTGTTTCCTTATAATACATCATAAACCACTTGGTTAAATGTTAGATGTGAAGAAAAAGTAAAACTAAGATGTGTTGCTGTCCTAATAGCAGGTTATATAAACTACTGATAGTAGTGTATCTCACCTTTGACGACCTCCAGAGGGGGTCACAGGGACAGTGAGGGTTGTAAGTTTGGGATCCTGGGGGGTGAGGATTTGGGGGATTTTGCTCTGTTCCTCCCCTCCTCCTCCTCCTCCTCCTCCTCCTGCTCCTCCTTTACTTCCTCTCTCATGGTCTGAGTCAACATCCTCTACATTGACAGCTGGATGGAGGCTGAGGCTAGAGCTCTCTGGAGAGGTCGAAAGGTACAAAAATGTTTGATTAATGAAGAGCATTGCAAAACTGTGAATGGGCTTGCAGTGAGGATAAAAGGACTGCAGTGCAGAACTGCCAGGTGCAAAGCAGGTCAGTGTAAGGGGGAAGCAGATTTACCAGGACCTACAGTACATCGGGCTAATGCAAGACGATCCACCTGTGAACTAGGGCATGTATAAGAGTTCCCTGATAGCTGACTCATTTGGCAATCCATTCACTCTGGCTAATCAGGCTCAGGATGCACTGGTACAATTCTGTCTTCTTCATTAAACACAAAAAGTGTCAGCAGTCAGTATGCCGCTTTCTCTTGTAAATTGTGTACAGTTTGTTTCAGACTTTATCAAAGCTATATGGAAATGGAGGGCAGCCATAGTATGACATTTTAACTTAAGGAATAGTTTGAGAATGTTGGCATGTTTACCTCTTTTTCTTAGCTTTTATCTTGTCCAACAAATTAACTGTGGTGCTTTAATAACATCCTACCTGAGCTTATTTGAGAAACGACAGACTGAGATAACACACAAAACTCCACCACCACAACACAACGCTTCTACTTTTCTTTCTTCTCTGATTATTTTTCAAAAGATTTAAGGGGCCATCAGCTACTTTATACTGATGCCACATACTGAGCTCAGGTATTCACAAGGACTCTCACAATGGTACAAAGTTAACCCTCCACTGCTGCAGATTCACCTGCGGGTCTTATTGCTGGAATGTCTGAGTCGTCTTCAATGAAGAACGCTGGGTTAGAGAGACCTGACAGCTGGCGGGACAGTGAGTTGAGCTGTTTTGATGGAGGGCTGACAATTGGCGGCAGGCGTGGGTAGGATGGCACATTGGGCAATTCGAGGGTGCTACCGTTGGGGGAGGATGGAGACGGGGAGCGGGACCGGAGCTGAGGTGGAGGGAGAGGAGAATGTCGGACGAGCCGGTTCAGCTCGACATCTTGCTGATTCTTGTCTTGCTTCTGTTTTTGCTGCTGCTGTTGTTTCTTAGGCATCTTGAGGCATAAGGCTGTTGAGGCGGTTCTGGACGTTGAGGAAGTACTGCTGCGTTCGGCTGGGGAACTGGGAGAGCTTCTGCGGGATGTTTGAAAAGCTCTGGGAGAGACTGGACAGACTGGGACTGACTGAACCCTCAGAGTTTTTGGGCAAAAGTTCAGTCAGAGTCTGGGCGATATTTCGTGGGACCTGCGTGAGTCGGATCTGGGAGAGCTCCTGGCGCAACTCAGGGGGTAAAGAGGGTAGAGAGGGCAGGTACTTGGTCACATCAGAGAGCTGGGTGGGTAGCTTAGGCATGGAGGGTATTTTGGGAGTGGAGATGCCGTTCTCCTTGAAGAACGCGTTGATGTTGCCAAGGCACTCAGAGGTGTGGGGAATGCGCATCAGGCAGCTCTTAAATGCATCACAGTTGACTGGAGCTATAGAGGAGAGGAGACAGGTGCATAAGCAGATATACAGTCAGGTAGAACATAAGCAAGGTGGGACATGGGCTCAGTCGTCAGTCAAACAGCAATGTCGTCAGTCAGACTTCATCTAGACGAGAAGATGGATAATGATCTTGGCAGACAGTCACCATGTGACATGTACACAAACAGTAATTAAATTGAGCAGTCGTAGTTATCTGGATGTCGACAAGTATGTCACACAACAGCCAGTTAAGCAGCTTGTGAGTTCACAACACAGGCAGCTGGTCAGAGATACAGAAATGAAACTGCTAATTAGGGCAGTAATATAACCGCTCTAACCCCAGTCACATATAGAACAGATAAACAAACGTATGAAAATAGAAGAGCACATACCACCACATTCATCTCCAGCAGCTTCCTCCTCCTACAAAAACACAAAGCATATGAATGAATGACATCAATCACACATCTGTTCGTGATAACTGATGAAGCAGAATTCGGGGCCCAGAATTGGGCCTGGTGGGTCCTGACCTCGTCTTCAACTTTTAGACTACTTTTGCTCTTGTCCAAAATAAGTATCTTTAAAACCAAATACTTAGTAGTCAAGGAATCACTGGAGACACGTAGAAGCGAGTGCAACTAAGTTTAATGTGTTCGCAGGCAACAACACATACAACTCAATGAGTCAAGCTCTGGAGCAGGACTGAAGTTTTGCTGTCTGTGTGCTCTCTTTTATGCTCTTCTCTTTAATCCTTCCCACATAAGCCCGAACATAATGGTGTCATACATGCACATCAAATCCTATCAGATCCTAGGTACTTCCCACTTCCTTGAACATCAGATCCTATCAGATCCTGCATCCAATACAATACACCAATGAGTGTGTGTGTGTGTGTGTGTGCGCATCGTCCTTGAACATCAGATCCTGCCAGATCCTGCATCCAATACAATACACCAATGAGTGTGTGTGTGTGTGTGTGTGTGTGCACATTATGTGGATACATGAAACAATAAACCATGGTGTGACTGGTTATGATCAAGCGGAGTATACTGCCTGGACGTGTATTTTTAAAGGTCAACTGATACTAAAGCATTAGACTAACAGGTACATTACACTACATAACAAACATTAACAAACAAACATATGCATGATTTAAATATTTTGCTAATTATTTATTTCTGAATTCTCATGAATTCTCATTCTCTATTTATTTCTCATGAATTTTCCCTCATGAATTGATGCAGGAAAGGCACAAATTGGTGAAGGGAAATTCACCAAAACCAAAAACAAAATGACCAGACCAGCCTTTAATATGTCTGATTTCTCATTAGAACTGTAATTAAAATTCTGCTTTGAGTTCTTCTGATTCAAAGTTGTTTTTGAAGTAAGACATATAAGAAAAGGATAGGGAAGGAAAGGAAACAAAGACAGGGCGAGTTGGGAGAAATAAAAAATGCTATAAAAATATAAAAGTAATTTATACATGACAATGATATTCCTAAATAAGTTCAGGCCATGCAGGAAGTTAGATTAATTAAATCGTGGGTATTACAGTCACATAAGTCACAAGTTGAAATATTGATAACTGTGCATATTCAACCGACTGACATTACCTTTTCACCAGCTTTTTCAGCTTTGGTGCTTTGACCGTCTTCCTGTGCTTTCTGCGGTTGCTGAGTCACAGGCTCAGCTTCTGAGTTGGCTTCCTCGGTCTTTGCCGCTGGTTCTGCTTCTGTTTCTGATTCAGGCTCCTGCTCGGCCTCAGGCTCGGGCTCCTGCTCGGGCTCGGCCTCATGCTCCGGCTCAGAGGTCTTAACTGGTTCAGGACTTGGAGGTGGCGAGGGGGAGGTCCGCTGTGGCTCTGCTTCCTCCTTTGGCTCTAGATTTTTTTTAAATTATAGATTTCACGATATTCACATATTAGAATACACAACAATGTTGATGATGCAGATATCATTAATATACATTCGTGTATAACATCTATTTACTTTGATTGTGTGACTCTTTTCAACAACAATCTTATCTGCAATCTTGTTCAAGTGAACAATGCTCTAAATCCAAAAGAAATAAAAAAGACTGCGACAGTGTGCAATGGTGGGCGTCTGCTCTCTGTCCTAATCTCTACCTGGTTCTGTGGTGATAGGTTCCTCAGTCTCCTCAGCAGCGCTCTGTTCTTTTCTGCAGAACAAGACAGGGAACAAAACAATTCATGTATAAGGCTGTCCGGCATTGAGGGACCCCACACTGAGCCTACTCAGTTGGGTCAGTGCAACTCGGTCCATTAAATGACGGTTGCTTATATGAAGAGTACCGCAGTTGGGATAAAAATGTTGGTATTTCTAGCGAAAAGCTACGCTATAATTTATACACTTCAAGCTATTTTGGAAAGTAAACATTTACAAACACAGACAGTCATTTTCCAAAGTAATGAGACATGACTAATTAGAGTCTATTTGCTTGGACTCATCCAACCTTGTTTGCACCCTCTGAAAATATCTGACTGTATTTGGACAGGTTGAAAACACATTTAAGTGGTTTGAGTGTAAACACGAAAACTGGATGTGGGTCACTTTATACAGATGATAATGGCTATGCAATAAGAACATAACATGAAAATTATTCATATCAGATTTTCTTTATTTTTAGCACTACGTTTTTGCACTATGGAGCACACATGTATGTTTCCACACATTTAGATAGCGTGTGACATGTTGAATTATTAATGCCTCAGCCATAGATGTGGTAACAATGACTCATTATTTTAAAGCACTTATGATGATTAGGCTATATGATGGTTCTTTATTCTTTACTGAAGTGCCAACGAAAGACATTGAAACACAAAACCCAGGTTACAGACTGTCATACTTTTCACTTAATACTGACAAATGTAGAAGCATTAACTTTACTCAGTGTTAGCTAGTTGTTAGCATAAAACGGCTAACTTGTTGACTACCTGTTGCTAACAGACACGCTTATAACGCGATTTATCTGTTTACATCCAGACAGTAACAAAGTAAGGGTTAAATTTGAGGTCAAACGCATTCATTTCATATATTAGTCCACTGCGTAATAAGGATGTTACCAGAAGCTACTCACTTTCTCTGTCAATGTTCACGTGCATTAATCGTTAATAGTCCCGACAGAAAATGCCCACGAGCATCCAGTCACGACAAGTAACACGAGCTCGGCTGCAGGCTCGTTTAAACCAGATCAGGAGATTTTAGAAATTTTAGAAAAACAACCGTGAAAATGTTCCATAACATCTCCGTCCATCATTTTCCCTGCGTCTCCAGACGTGAAACAGCAGCAGCAGCAGCAGCAGGTGCGCGCTGTTACCGGGGAAACCGTTGAGAGGGGAGGGCGCGTGTGGGGGGTAGGAGGTCGGGTGTTGCCAGGGGAAGCTGTGGTTGCTATGGAATGGTGAGTGTGATGCTGAGGCAGCGCGCGGCGAAGATCACATAACGAGAACCCACGGGATTTAGGACCTGACAGCCAAATGAAACCACTATGCTGGATCAGCATGAGACTGGGAACTGAATTCATATGACTGGCAGTGGAACTGGGCATACTGGGGTCTACAGTGGTGGAAAGTGACCATAACTGTACATAAGTACCTTAATATAATATACAGGTATTGGTACTTCCACTTAGAGCTTCTTACATTTCTCAATGTCATGCTACTTTACAGCCTATTCTATTCCACAACATTTCAGAGTATTGTACTTTTTACTTCACCACTGTAATCTGATTGAGTTAAATCTGATTACTTTGCATGTTCAGATTTAACAAAGAAAACACCATCTTGTTACAGACAGGCGCATCATAGTGTGGGCAAAAGTGGGACTGATTACCCAGGGCCCCAGTGGGAGGGAGGACCTCAAAAAGCCTGGAATGAAAAGTTTGTCTGCATTTTTTATGTGGCAGTAATTAGTGCCACAGCTAAATTAAAACTGGCGGAATAATCTGTTGAAAGGCTGAACTTTGTATAAAAAAAAAAGAAATATCTGAAGCTATGAGGCCGCTCTCACCCTTTTAAAGCGCAAAATGGTTTAGTCCGCCCCTGCACTAAGATTCCTCTCTAAAAAGTCATGCTGTTCAAATATCAATCTACGCTGCTATGTCTTTACTTGTTTTTTTTTTTTTTTGAAAAAACAAGAGTGACATGGACCCAGAGAAAAAGGCCGGGGAGTATGGGGGGATGCACAAGGCCCAGAATCTGGTGCTACACCCCTGTCTTCCAACATTGAATTTCTGCTATATCTTCTTCCGGTCAACAGGCTGCTGAAGACACTGACAAGAGGTGGAAATTTCCTCAGTATAGTGTGTGAGTTTAGCGCTCTGTTTCTAAAATACCATTGATATAAACACCCTTATAAGTGCAATCTAATAGGCACAACATAAGAGCAGTATGACATAATCGAAGTTAAAGACTACATAAGTTTAAGGTTCTATAAGGACTACAGCTTCCATGTTTGCATTCTTACCCTGTGACATTATTTTGGTCCACTTCGCTCTCCTCTTCCTGTGGCACTGGCAGCCTGGTCGCAGTGAACAGTAAGTGTCACAACATGTCACAAGGATGCTCCCATTGCCAAAATGCACAAATACAGAAATACAAACACTAATTGAGCACAAGTTCTTACTCGATTTCAGGCTCCTCATCCAGGAGTTCTTGACTCCCCAGTGAGAGTTTGATGGACTGTCCCTCACTGGCCATCTGTCTAATGGCCATCTCAGCTGTCTGCCTTGCCACCTCTTCAGCCATACGGGCCATCTCCATGCGCTCCTGCAGCAGACTAAAGAGTGACGGGAAACACTGATGTGATCGTGCTGTGTGGTAAATGGTAGTAGTAGTATATGGTAGAAGAAATTTTGGATATGACACGAATTGTCTTTCTTATTGCAGGAAATTTAGATTCCACATCAGACTTAACACCAAACCAGGTTCATTTAGCCTTAGCATGGTTTCTATCACTGTGTGGAGCTGTAGGTCTTCATCTACATAACAAAGGGGCATTTACATCTGACTGCAGCTCTGACCACCTCCAGTCTTCTGTTCTCTCTGTCCTCTCTTACCGTTCCTCCATGGTAGCCAAAGCCACACCTTCCGCCTCCTTCTTGATGTTTTCAATGAATGGCGTCCAGCGGCCCGTCTGAGTCTCAGCATCTTCTAGACTTTTTGTCCCACTCTGTGACGGCTCTGGCTCTGGGCTGGCACATGTCTGAGTTTCCATTGCATTGGACTGCGCCTGCTGCGTCAGTTCCTGCTTTTGGCTAACTGTTGGTGATGGTGGGGTCAGTGATGTGGATGGTGCTACAGCTTTGGACTGCAGTTGTTTCTGCTGGCTTTCGTTGTCTGAGTCCACGTCTTCTAGTACCATGTCAGGTTTGAGTTTGAATGAAGCTATGAGAGGGTGACAGGCATGTGTAAGACTTGTGTGTGAGGAGACATGTGGTTGAGAGTGGACATGTTGGTGATGGAGTTGGTTTTGGGTTTGGATACATGAAAACAGTGTACACACAATACAAGTTGGATTTGATCTTACGTCAGAATGATGTATACGTATACATATTATACGGGGTTTCGGGCAGGACTATTTACACTACAGGTATACAGGTTTACTCAAGTGTCTACACGCTCTATCACCTGTGCATGAATGTATGGACATAATGGAAGATGTTATTAATAAGACCACCACATAAATAATTCCACTGAATCTTTATTACTCCCGTAATATCCTTACATTACAGCATGTAACTGCAGCATGTACTCTACCACTGTCTTTGTATAACAGTCAACATATTTTCAATAAGAGCGAGTATGGTTCTTTGAAATCAAGTCAAACCTTCTGAAACAATATAACATCACTTCCCCAGGCCACAGTTCACAGTTCAAGGCCAGAGTAATCTATCAAGTGGATCGAAATAGACCTACGCTTACATTTGTGTTGTGCAACTTCAATTAAACCTGTGGAAATGAAATGTATCAGGACCAAAACTGAACTCAATAATTACCAGATTCTTGTGGAGTGAAATAACCGGTTGTTACAATTTCCTCTAAATATAAAGTATAAATACAGATATAGTTTGAACTTTGTCCACAAATAACACAATCATAAATGAACATAGCTGCCATTTAATTATTATTTCCAGCTTTTGTGAATTGTGAAAGGAAGATTGGACATCTCAAGCTGAAATTCTTCTAAACAGAAATGCTTTTGCATTTAAATTAATGAATAGCATATCGTGATTTTTATCACCTATTGCTCTTTTCCTGGATATGAAAATGGCATCATGAATATAAAGTGTGCATTGCCATAAGTTAAAGCACGGTAAGGAAACATCAAAATGTCCAATCTGCAATCTTTTGTGAATGAAACCTACAGTTGTTTCAGATAAATGGCATTTACTAAATGTTTCTGTGTGAAACACACGATGTGCAAAATTCACATTACAAACACAGAAGACAAAAACTCATCTAAGTAGCTATAGAATATACAGTACATATTTTAGTTATGTCTTAGTGCATATACTTTAAGAATACATTCATATAAAACTGTATTGAGTACAGTAAGGTGAGTTGAATATGTCTTTATATTCTTGTAGTATTTTACAGCTGCCTAGTTTCTGTACTGAGCTGCATGCTGCACAGCACCTGTAGCTCGCCCAACAGTACAATATGTCTATTGGTATCTGTCTGTCTGTCTGTCTGTCTGTGTGTGTGGGAATCAGAGCGTCCCCCAGTTGTCTCCTCCTGCTGTTTAAGGGGCTCGCAGCGCCTTCCCCCCTGAAACAGATGGAGAAGAGGCACTGAGTTAGGCTCCGACCGTCCGACCAAAACACCTCTTCAAAAACTATGGGGGGAAAAACAAGAGGGTGCTTCAACAGAAAACATATTTACGATACTTTCCAAATATTACACAGATCCCCAGGAGTTACTCAAAGGGAGAAATGAGTGGTGTATTTCACCAGTGAAATAATGACTTTGAAATAATAAAAAGCACCCCATGTTATTAAAGAGATGTTTTCTGCTAGCTGTAGGCATCAGTCTCCAGTGACTAAAGAAACACTATGTGATATAGATCCACTTGATTGAACTGTGAATTGTGGCATTGGGGAACAGTGATACTGGCAACAACATGGCAAGCAAATGGTTTTCTATGATTACAGGAAAGTATAATTAAGTGAATAAAACTTAAACCCACCTTTCTGTAGAACTTGAGCTGCATTCTGAGGGAAAAAAACATTGCATTGGAAAAAAGAAATTGTACAAGTTGAATTGCTATCAGATCTAGAAATAATAGAGTGACAATACATGGCAGAAAAGAAAGGTGGTAAAAAAAAGGTTGATGAGGTGAAAGACAAGAAGACAAGAAGGAAGAAAGACAGATTTATTTATTTTCTAAAGTCACCTCAGTTTCATCTTTAGGTGGAACAACAGGCTGAGGCAGCTTCAGACCCAGACCTGACACGAACCAGCCAACCACACTGTCGGGAGATAAACACATTAACAGTTAGTATAAGTGTTGTTAGACACTTTACACACACATTATACATTTTACTGTTTGCATTGAAGTGTAATTTTAGCTTTTATATTGTCTTGTAGAAAGAGAGGGATTTAGAAAGTTCAGTGGTAGACTGAACCGTACCCAGAGGCCTTGCTGTCAGTATCCAGTGAGATTCCACTGAGAGATTCAGGTGGTGGAGAAAAAACTAGAGACGAAGGACGACATGAAGTTCAGTGGACAATACACATACCCAGTGGTGTGCACTGGGAGAAATGTACTTTATTGTGTATGTGTGTTAGAGAGTGAGAAAGATTGTGTAGGTACTTTTATCCAGGGAGGAGCGGTTGGACTTGTTTGATGGTTCTATAGGTACGGCACCAGGGGGCAGTATCACTGGCTGAGGGACCATCTGCTTTATCCAATTCACCATGCTGTAGCAGACAAAGAGAATTGTCAGCTCCTCACATGTTTATAGCTCTTAAAACTGTGTGTGTGTGTGTGTGTGTGTGTGTGTGTGTCCTTGATATAGTTTGGAAATGTCAGATGCTGTTGGTGGGTAAAAGTTCAGCTTCACTCGCCGTGAATGTGTAGTAAGAGGTGGTTTACACTCACTTGGGAGGAAACTGAGTGGCTGGCTCTACCTCCTCCTCATCCTCTGACAAGATTTCCACCACAGGGATGTGTGGGAGGGGATCAAAATCTGGACAGACAGCAGAGATCAGCTCAGCGGATAGGATTAATGATATTTGATCATTAATTCACTTTTTTTTAAAAAGGAAAAACTTGTAGACAAATAATCAAGAGACATACCTGGCATTGTTGCTACTTCATAGACCTAGGAAAAAAGGGATAAAAATAGTCAACCTGATTTTCTGACATTATTCTTAAAGCACATTAGGGTTTTTTTTTTATTATGAATAAATAAAAATTAAGATAATGATCAGTGTGAGTGCCACAGAGGTTAATGGTGGTCTGTTATCTGATTGTACAGACAGAATAAGCCACGTGTATCTCCCCATACAAGCCCCTGGGGTGGGCTACAAATGGTGCTCAGTAGAGCAATAAACCTTATGTACCACATGGGCCCCTTTTATGTCCGTACCCACAGCGCAGCACGTGGACTAAAAGCTCTGCCATGGAGTTGAAATCCATTATTTTTCTACCGGATTTATCTTTAATTTAAATATTTCAATATATACCTTTTGGCTCCATGACATAAAAATGTCTGGATCATGTGTTTCCTGCAGAAATCACAGAATATTACAAACATTTTATCTAATTTGTTGTGAGGAGTCGTCTGGATGTTTATCACTGCAGCAGTGAGACCTCCAGGTAAGAAGGTTGTCACATGAACAGACCTGTTTTAAGGCAGTGAAGTTAATGAAGAGGGGTTTAATCTGGCTAAACCCCCTTTAGATTCCTTTATAAGCCTAATCCTTACACATGATTAGTCTCATAAGCCTGTGGGACAGTATTAAGTTGTTTGAGTCAAGTGTTGCTCAGTTCAAAGACGTAGATTTCCTTGATGTTGGTTGGCTGAATTACTTATTAGAGTTGTTGCTCCTCAATGTTTCGACATCATAGGAATATTTTAAGGCACTAATTCTGTACCAGTATTGATGTAGTTAAGATGTTGTTGTGTTGTCACCTCAGTGTGTTCTTCCTCGTCGTTAGTCTCTTTGTACTTCTCGTCAGGCTGAGGCAACACCTTGGTCAGACCCTGAGCGACCCAGCCCATCACTTTAGACCTGGGAGGGAATATTAATTGAATTAACCTTTGAACAATGTATTTAGCAATAAAAATTAACTCTGATCTGATCATACTGCACCTTTCTCCATCTTCTCCTGGCTGGTGGATGGTAAAGAAAGAAACAGAGAAGTGAGAGGGCACATGCCAAAATAGACTTTTGTGTCATGTGCAGACAACTGAATAAATGTTGCTGTATCCCACATTAGGTGAGTCTGTGTGCTCCATATTGTAGTTTTATCAAAACATGATCACCTTTGCGTAAGGTGTCTACTTCACTTTGAAGTAGAAGTGTTTAAGAAGGACATGTCGGGCTGACATCTGGCATTTGATAAAAGCCAAATATTGGCCATTTTGTCCCATCAGTTTTTCAGTCTGACCCTTAACTAACAAACATAGATTAAGTTCTCATAAAACAATAAGTAGAAAACCTGATGTCAATCTGAGTGGGCTATCTATACGTAAACATCTACATACTCACCCTGGAATCAGAGCCGAGTCGAGGGGAGCCAGAAGGTTGAGGCAGGGCGCTGACGAACCCATTAGACAGCCAGCCTAAAACTCCAGTTTGGGCCTGGCTGTGGAGGAGGTGCTAAGATGTCAGTATATTTACACACACACACACACACACACACCCTCACACTTGACATATAGATTAACTAGCAGACAGAGAGGTCTACCTGTCCTCTGAATTCTCGTCTGTGTTTTTCTGTGAACTCTTCCCTGTGGGTTGAGCAGAGGTCTTAGCAGCGTCATCTGTCCCAGGAGCTTCAGGGAGTTGGGGGACCACTTTCACCACCCAGTTAAACATCCTGTTGAACACACACAGACACACAGAGTCAGCCCCTCAAAAGCCCTTCATCAAACATTAACGATAATGCTGCTGATAATGATAATTCATAATAACTCTTTAATAATGCCTTTATTAAAGCAGCCACTTAATCTGTCAAACAGAGAGCCCTTCACCGGAGCTAATGAGGTCTGATGATGATGAAGGACGTTCACCTGCCTCTTCTTTGCTTTTATGCTGGGGAACATTTTCGGCCCATTCTGAAATTTCTCTCTCTAAAGTCTTGACCATTTTTTTCACATGAATCATAAAGCTGTCTTTAGTTTCTCATCAGAAACGTTTACAATGTTATGTGGTGCCTGGAATAAGAATCAGAAGATATTTGGTTATACATTAGTCAGGGAAAAATTGGGATCTTATATAAATGAAAATATGAGTTTGAAAGGTGCAGTGTAGACTGGCCTTTCCAATCTGCAAATTAACCCAGAGAAGAGACAGAGATCAAGAACCTGAATCAAAATTCAGACGGGACTAAAAGGTGAAGAGGCAGAGGTTAACACAGGGAGTAAGTGCACCATAAGCTGCTTTACTAACAGGCTCCATGGGTGACAGAGGGTTAAATTAGGCGGAGAGGGTGAAATCAGTCACAAATTTACATGAGGAGGAAAACTGAACTGGCCCAGCGCAATGATTCAAGATGGAGATTGACAGAGCCAGAAGGAGTGCCACTTGTCTGACTTAATCTCAAATTGTGTGCATTATCCACTGTGACAGTTTATCACCCTGTAGAGATAATCCACTTCAGCAACGGGGAAAAGAGCCACTGAACCTGCAAGATGTCCTGCTAACTGACCAAAGCAGACAGGTCAAGGGCAACCAGGATGGCTGTCGAAGAAATGTTTCATTTATCATTACCACAGACTTCCCCAGGGCATCGAGTGAGGTCTACAACACACACCTACTGTATGTTCTGAGCGAAGAGGATATTTAAGAGAAGCTTCAAATAATTTGGTGCCCTGCAATCCATGCTTCTGTCTGCCCATCATACACCTTATTTCATATACAACTAATTTAGAACGCAAACCAGAAATGTCACAGTGTCTTCTCTCTAATGATACACCACTTTATTCTTGCATCTACACTAGATTTTTTACATGCCTGTTGGAGCTATATGTGCACTCAAGATATGACATTGCTCCAGCATAAAGGAAAAAGTGATGGCCTTAAAGAAGTTACACAGCTCTCAGAGTTCCAACATTTTCTAGCCGTGGGTTTGGTTATCTGTGATGAATCTGTTCACAGGAAATCCACATGCAAGGCTTCTTTACAGAGCTGTTTGACCTGTTTTGATCCCAGTGTGTGATTCCTGACACACTGTCCCAATCAGCAAAGATCAGAGGGGCCTCTTTCCTGGGCTGATCTCTAATTCGTAGCATTGGATTAAAAAGTGTGGCTTGGTCCCCAAACTAAGCCTTCCTTATTGCTTAAAGGCCTGGATCAACTTCTGACATACGTCCTCATCACATGAGATCATTCACAGTCATCGAAAGAGCATAAATCAGAGGAGGGCACCTTGATGATATAATTCTTTGTCTACTGATTGTGTTTGTAATTTGGTCTTCACATAAGTCAGAGTCAGAGTCAGAGAAGAATAAGACCTGGCTGTACAGTTTTACAAAAGCAAGTCAGAAGCTATAAGTAAACACATCACATCAACATTTCTGCTCATATAAACACTCTATCTCTGCAGCACCCACTGTCTCTTAATCAACACAAAGATCATTACAATGCGTGCCTCAAATCAGCACTCAAGTATTCATTTTACCACTCAAGTAATCTGTGTTAAATCATGTATTTTCCTACCTCTGTACAGAATAGCAAAGGCTCGTTTTTCTTACCTGTGTGTCTACAGGTGGTTCTGCATGCCGGTGGCGTAGAGATCCAGCACAGCCAGCACAGGTCTGCTGGGATTTCCACAGTGGCTGCCTGGGACTAACGGGATTACCCAGCACCACCTGAAGGTCAGGGCACAATCCTAGACCGTGAGCCATCACAGATTAACGGCAGAGAAACGTATCGCCAGGACCTCATCCCTGTAACCTATAAACTGTTATCACCCCACCACCAGGAAGACAGCAACAAGCTACAAGTGGTGACTACCACTTCACATAACCCCAGACTGCAGGGATTTGAAATAGAAAGTGCAACTCTTCCCTCCAGTTACAGACTGCAACCATTCAGACATACTGCAAGGAGCAAGACAAATATTTGTAGCATTGCTATTTGAATCATAAATTTTATATTCAATGTGTTACATTCCGCTTCACTGCCAAAGAAAGGAGCTATTTGTGATGTATACTGTCTCAAACACAAGATAATTTGTTTTACTATATGCACAATGCACTTGTTGGATATGTGGCAGCTAGAATCCCCCACACCTTGTCATCTCTGTTCCCTCTTATCTCCCATCCCATCCTAATTATAGTTTTATCCCCAAGTGACGCAGGGGCACTTGCAGACAGGCCAGCAATGAGCTATAAACCTTTTGACTAAATAACAGTCAGGAGGAGACAGGGGGAGGTAAAGCTTATTAGTTAGTCTCAGGTCAGGGCTCTGGTGATGTACTTCTGGCTTGGATCTACAACTGTATGAAGACCATACCTTTATCAGAAATGGCTATAAAAAGCTTTTCTTCTACTTGTGTGTAATGCAGCCATCCACATCTCAAGTATGGCCTTAGAAGCTTAACAGCAGAGGTGGAAACAAAGTTGGTCTATTGTAGCTCTCTGAACCATCTCAGGTGGAAAGTAATTAAGTAGTTGCAATTACTTACGTAGCCACTGTAGGCTAAATACAATTTTGAGGTACTTCACTTGAGTAGCCTAGTTCAGTTTCCAGCTACTGTAAATTTCTACTTTATTATAATGTTACTACATATTTAGATGGAAGTACTGTACTTTATAAACTATACTGAACTAGTTAGCGTTTCTTTTATATAATGTTAGATAGTTACTTTTCAAACTTCACAAAAACAAGGCTAACGTCAACGTATGACTAAGAATTTATCAGCCATGGCTAGCATGGCTATAGCGGTAGCGGTTTGAGCTAAATGCTAATGCTAACATGACGGTGCTAACATGCTAATGTTCGTGTTAGCATCCCAGTCTATGGTTAGCATGCTAATATTTGCTAATTAGCGTTATCACCAAACACAAGGTAAAGCAAAAGGCTGCTCATAAATTTGGGCAGGTACAAGATTATTTCTATCGCATGATGGCACAACATTTAAAATGAATGAAACAACAAAGTTGTATCCAATAGTTGCTAAGATGTTTCAGTTTGGACCAAGTAGGCTAGTGGACCAATGTTGCCATCCCTAGAGCCACGTTGCTAGCATACTGAAAGATACCTTCATAATACAATATATTGTTCTTGATTAAACTAGTGGTTACCAGCATTTTTTTGGTCCAGTCTGGGCCAATTTTCCAATGGGGTTTTTATAGCAGGACATGTACTTGTAACAGAGTAAGATCTGAATAGCTTACTTCCAGTGTCCAGTGACAGTGAACATGGAGAGAGGAAGGTGGCATGGTGGATTAAAGGAAGACAAACAGTGGAAAACAAGATAAAGAAAAAAGAGAAGGAGGAGGAGGAGGACTGAGTTAATGATGGATAGAGGAGAGGAGAGGAGAGGAGAGCAGAGGAGAAGGGGATGTATGGCATGATGCCTTGGAGTGATTACCCAGGATCCAAGAGTGCCCTCATTAACTGACTGATGGGTAAACAGGAAGTGGCACATTTAGTGTAATGGTAGTACTGAAACAATGAGAGAATACGCTGCTGTTTATGGGGATCCAAGCAAACAACCCGTACTAGCATCAGTTATAATAAACTGTACATACAGACATATGTTTGACAGACAGACAGGTAGGTCTGTGGCTAATAAGAAAGCCACAGACAAGTGGAAAAACATTCAGCAGGTCAGACAGGTGGATAGATCTCACCACATCCAGTGAGGCCTGGTGGTGTGTTTGAGAATGGGCACTACAGACCAGTTTATGGTACTGATGAGGCAGGAGGATGCAGGCAGATCCCATTATGAGCTCAGCAGGGGATAAGCTGGGAGAACAGGTCCATGACACAGACCCTTGGCCCCTGGCTGGACTATGGCAGCACCATAGTGGCCTCAATCCTAATTGAACATCTGGCTACAGCACAAAGGACAATTTGGGCAAAGGAAGTGGGAGAGGAAGCGAGTGAAGCTCAAGGTTTGCAGACTGAACAATGGTCTCTAACTCTGGGGAAACATTGCAGGAACACACTTTATTTTTGGTTAAATGTTTAATTTATCGTAAAGGAGATTGAAAATATGGTGTCTGGGTTTGAAATAAAGAAAGAAAAATAGAGAGTAGATGAAAGAGAAAGATGCAGAGGCAAAGCTGTAGTGGATGATCTGTGATGGAAGCTAATCCTGATTACCTCTGACATGAAGACATGCAGGGAGGTGCAGACACACACACACAAACACACACACACACACACACACACACACACACACACAACAACCTGTTTAGAGTACTCAGATCTTCTACTTAAGGAAAGGTATTGATACCATAATGTCAGAGTACTCTATTACAAGGAAAAGTCCTGCATAAAAACACAGTACAGACCAATGATTAGAAAGTAAGCATAACATTCTTATTATGCAAATTTGGCCACTTTGAGGGAGTTATATTGTTATGTAACTTTTATTAGAAGACTAGTTGTTGAGGTGGTTTTGATGACAAGTCTTAAAGCAATACTTAACCCCTAAATGACCACCTGTATATCAATTACTACCTCCATGTTAAGTTAAATTAGTGAGGAAAACTTTGTTTTCTCACATGCCTCCACAATGAACGAAGAATTCAAAAAGGGAGAAATTCTTGATGAATTTAAGTAAATGGAGGCTGCATTCAACATGAATTTTTTTTTTATCAAAACATCTGTTTTCAAACTCTCACACAACTTGTGCAGTATAATGCCTGCAGGCACGCTATTCGTCTGTGCATGACACTGTTTATGACCAAAGTGTTTTAAATTGTACAGTGTAAGTGAAAATTCATGTGTTGGGCAGTACTAAACATACGACTGGATGAATGAGATCTGATCAGAGGTTTTTATTTTAATATAGTTTTGCAGATCTAAATTGTGAACCCCCATGGCTTTAATTCATCAAAAAAAATCTCAGTTTTTGGACTATTCATTTAAGTTTTCTTAACATATTTGATGTAACACGAGGGGAGTAATTAACATACAAATAGGGACGTGATATATTCCTTCAATCTGCAAAGTAACAAGTCACTACAGCTGTAAGTAAATGTAGCGGGAACAGCATTTCTCTGTGAAATATATGAACTGTATGAACAAAAGAATTAAAATTAAACTGCACCAATGTCATTGAGTAAATGTACCTTTCAGTACTGCAACTGTGATGTGATTTTGTATGTGCTTTGACTTTAGTTTATCATCACTGTCTGTGTGTGTATGTTTCACTGAAAGTTGTGAACATTATAGTTTTAGTTTTCAACATTTCAGAGGCAAGGGTTCCCTCTTGTGGCCAAAAGTAGAATGACCTCCTTGGACCTGATATTTGCATTGTTATTTGTATGATTACAATAACACAAAGCCAAAAACTGCAGCAAAGACGACCCGTGTTGCTTTTACCTGTGAATTTTATTGTGAAACCTTTAACGTACTCTACACATGAGTGCACAGGCCTTACAGAACATGCCCTGCATGCATCAACATCATCGTAATAATCTACTGCTGTTCTTACAGAAAACCTGAACAGGAACAAAATTTACAAAACTACAAATGAGAATAAGTAGAGTAAAAAAGGAAAAAAGATGTTTTAAAAAACTTTCCCTCATGCTATTTATAGTAAAAAAAAAAATGCCCCCCAGTATTCACAGAAAAAAGGCACAATGAAAACAGAATAAAGGCACAAACCTAAAGCAAAGGGTAATGATTGTAGCATGTGAGTAGTGGCTTTACACAGAGACAAGCAAGGTAAAGACAGACAGACAAATAGTGGGAGGCTCAGTGGACACTTTCTGCAGATGTTTCTGTGCATTAAGTACTTTTTAAATGCTTGAGCTCACTTTCCAGAAGAGTGGAGCAGAAAATTAATACATCTGGGAGCACAGAAGAGGGGTAAGGCACAGCAATGAAACAGAAAAAAGACAGAAAAAAAGAAGAAGAAAAGACTGAAAATTGAAAAAACAAAAGGAAAAGTGGAGAGGAAGACAGGCGAGGAAGGGAGGAGGGGTCGCAGAGGAAGTCATCTCCAGCTCATGACAACAAGCAGAGCAAAAACAAGAAGACTTGAAAAGGAGGAGTGGACTTTAGTGTCCCAATCTAGGTCAGGAGGCACAACGCCAGCGCTGCCCCTCCCCGAGATCCTTCCTCTCTCTTTCTCTCGCTCCTCCTTTCCCAGAGAAAAGTGGAAAGGGAATTCTGGCAGAGCTCTCCCTCTCCCCTCCTCAATCCATGCCTCCCCCACTTTCTTTCTTTCTTTCTTTCCCTCGTCATCTCATTCTCTCTTATTTCCCCCTTACTCCCCAGTACTATTTTTTTATGCCTCTTTCTTTTTGCATTTTCCCCAACTCCCCCCTCTCCCCCTCTCCTCATGCCTGACACTACTAAATCAGCAGCATGTGGGCTTAATGGAAACCAGACCCTGACCCATTCCTCTCTAGCCTGCAGACTTCTCCCTTGTATACTTAATTAGCTTCAACTCTATTTAGCTTTAGCATGAAAAAAAAGAGAAGAGGAGATACAAAAAGACAGATACTGCTGCTATGGTTTTACTCTTCACAGGTCGAGCTGAGATGGACAGTTTGTAAAATACCACAACACTTTTCAATTCTTCTCGTTAAGTGTGAATAAATCCCCACCCTCTTGTATTTCATCCAAGCCCTGGCACCGGTCGTATATCAATATGTCTCCACTGGGATTGTGTTTTTAGTGGTGTAGTCTGAACAGTTATCGTGGCTGTGGTGGGAGGAGGGGAGGCTGGAGCCCTTGTGTCTGTATGCAAAAACTCTATGTGCCTTTGTTTGGGTAAGTGGTCTCTATGCATTGATGTGTGTGTGTGTGTGTGTGTGTGTGTGTGTGTGTGTGTGTGTGTGTGTGTGTGTGTGCATATGTGGACATGCATGCACAGATTGAGTGCAGTTAGGGATTTTTTTTTGGAGATCATGTGACGGTGCATGTGTGTGTGTGTGTGTGTGTGTGTGTAGGGCAGACATAATGGGCTCAGTGGGAGACGAGCGGTCATGGACGCACACAGCTGTCTGACATTCCTGCGCTGGTCGGAGGATGAACTTCTTTTGCTGCTGCTCTGTGTGTGTGTGTGTGTGTGTGTGTGTGTGTGTGTGTGTTTCATAAGCACTAACACACACACATATTTGCAGCGAAGCAACCTCAGCAAAAACAAAGACGACAATAAACAGAATCAAAAGTGCAAATTATCAGTTCTAAACATAGAAAAACGTCAAGGTTGGTTGAAGCACCGTAGTCAAGCATAATAGACTTGTCCATATTAATGCGTGTATTTGTTTAAGTTGTTTCTATAGCTACAAGCACTCATGTTTGTGTTTATGTACAGTGTGTCTGCTTCTATATAAATGTATGTGCATTATCGACTTTGTCTGCATTTATACTACAAATAAATCATCGGTCCCCCCTCTGTACAATTAGAATGGATAGAAACGGACATTCCTAGTGTGTCGTGTCTTTTCCAGGACACGTGTAGATGCTGACACATCATTTTTTAAATGCTGTGATAGTATAAAGGTGATTATGTTAAGGAACAGGGGTCTTCTTTTAACGCTATGATGGAATAAATGTGATTAGTGTAAGAATCAGAGGTATTTTTCTAGACATTTAGAAGGCACAAAGGGAGGCACAGGAGAAAAACTTCAAGGCCAGTAGAGGGGAAAGTACGCTGTAGCTCCACAGGCACAGTCTTTACCACTTGTGCATTATTTCACAAGCAATAAAAGTCCTCACAATGAACGGGGCCCAAAACGGTGACTCATCCTCAGCTTTCTTAGACTTTAGTACTGCGTCAAAGCTTCTTCCCGCTGCACCATAAGTACAAATTTCGACACCAACAACTGTCCCAGACAAATGATGAATACCCGCTCTATCTCTTCTAATTCTGTGCCTCACACCCAGTCCTGCAATGAACGTTTGCAGTGCACCAAGGCCCTCGGTGGCTCTTTGTTCTGTAGAGTCCTGAGGATGGCGTAGATTAGGATGAGGATGCACAGGATGAGGACCAGAGGAACAATCACCATCACCAGGGTCATGACCTTTGATTCATTGTCAGCCACCGTCACAACCACGTTCACCTCTTTGTCCTCCTCCTCCGTGCCATCAGGCTTAGAGGTTTGGTCTTCCTCTGCATTCGTGTCTTTGTCCCGGCCCCTGTCCGGCTCTTTGTGCTCATCTTTGCCTCGGTCTGAAGGGTTGATTGGTTTCTCTCTTGGTCCCTGCTCAGTGTCTGTGTCAGGCTTTGGGTGACGGGCTTCCATACAGCCCATGAAGTCCCTCAGGATAGAGCGAGGGTAGCCTTTCTCTGCTTCTGTTTTGCGGTTGTCAAACCTCCAGTAATTGGTGCCTTTGTAGAAATAGGTGTAAGCTGCATGAGAGGAAAATAAAAGATATTTAAGTCAGCCAACTCATATGCAATGGATTTGTATGTTAATATATTTATGTACAGTGTTGATATTTGGGGTCTAACCTCTGACCTTGTCATTGTCCACAAGCTCGGAGCAGCAGGAGGTGGGGAGTGACAATAATAATTAAATAGGGGCGGGACTACAGGACAGATATCAGTGAGAGAACTATGCCACGTGAGTGTAGCGGCAGAAGTTGCCTGTACCAGCCCAAAGGCTTTATTTAATTATTTCTAATGTGAGTAAAAATCTTTTTTTTTTGCTTTTGATCCTGTTCTGGTTGTATTTCAACTTTTTGGGAATTGCACGTATACACTTTTCCACTGAGATTTAGATGACACGTTTGGACAAAGAATGGCTACCCCCTTGTTCTAGGGGTGTAAATCACAAGTTTCATAAAGGTGATTCTTTTGATTCTTTGGACAACAATTTGATATTTGCTGATCCCAAAGTCTGCCACAATGCGATTTTGATTCAATTTAGGGCTCTGCGATTGATATGAAAGGATATCAGTAATCCTCATTTTCTTTTTCTTAGCTGCTTGCCATTGTCTGCCTGGCAATATGCCGCTAGCAGCTGTATTAATGTTTAGAGAGGAGGTGTGCTTGAACAGAAATGGTGACACAGATGTGCTATAGGAATTTCAAAATAAAGGTGCATAATAAGGTCCAGTGTGTCAAATTTAAGGGCATCTATTGGCAAAAGAATATGAAAATTGTGCTTTCATTACTCATGGGCTGTGTCCGCCAAAGACTTTTTTTCCCAGCTGAATGCCAGGCTCTCCTCAGGAAATGCCCAGCTGGGAGCATTTGAGAACACTTTGGAGGCACAGCTTTTTTCAGCCGTGACGCTTTAGTTGTGTCCGCCGTGATACCGAATATCCCCGGATGTAAACATGTTGCATTGCATAAATACACTGACCTCAGAAAAAACCTGCTTCGGTGGACATGGGTTCACCAGTGACTTTGGGTCCTCTTCCACAGAGGCTGCCACCTTATTCTACAGTAGGCAAGAACAGACAAACCAAGCAATCGCTCTAGAGTCCATTTGTGTATTCGCGTCAGCCGCTGTTGTTCTCCTGCACACTTGGCAAGTTTTAGTTCTGCAACCTCACTGCTAGATGCCACTAAATCCTACACACTGGACCTTTAAAGATAACAATATGATCAGTGATTTCACTTTGCATCAATATTAGATCACTGGATAATTTAATCAATATATTGATCCAGTTCGCTGTATCGTTACATCCCTATCTGTTTCCAGTCTGTATGCTAAGCTAAGCTAAGCTAATTGTCTCCTGGCTGTAGCTTTGTATTTACTGCACAGACATGAGAGTGATATCAATCTTCTCATTTAACTCTCTGCAAGAAAGTCAAACAGTGTATTTCCCCAGATGTCAAACTGTTTGGAGAAGTAATGTTTGATTAAATGCCTAAACACAGCAAAGACTGTATTGCCATGAAAATGTAGGGTTGACTTTTGGTGCTTTCACAAAACATACATATTTATATAGTAACAAAATGAGATTTTTGATAATCAATGATCAGTAATGTGGACATAATGACTAAGTGGGTAAGTGCAAATAATAGAACAGCTAGAACAATCTGGTAAGTTCAGAAAATGACATCACTTCTACAGCAATGCAGCCTTTAAAACCAGGAAAAGACAGCACTTGATGATATCCAAAATCTAAGACGATATCTAGTCTCCTATCACAATATCAATATAGTATTAATACAGTGCCCAGCCATACATCAGTCACTTTGATTAACTTTGTTTGAGGAAAATAAAATTCAAGGATCGATGCAGATATTAATGGAAGCAAAGTTTGAAACTGAGCCCATAAAAGTGACAGACTTCAGACCTCACTTCATTTGTAAAGGCTGTCTCATTTACTTCGCCATTTCTCTCGACAAGGTAAATCTAAGTTCAGTGTTTGTGCAAACAAAAAGCAGACTCAGGCATGTTTCTTCAGGGACCAGTTTAGCATTTGCACTCCCCCAACATTCCCCCACATTTTTGCACCACATGGGCTTCTGCAGAGCCAGGGCTGATTCTGATAAGTATACCACTAGACTATATATAAAATGTGTTAATATGTGTTTCATACATGCATTAAGATTTGGCAATTCGATGCAAAAAAAAACAAAAAAAAAACTACATACAATTTCTGGGTGTAAATGTAGCTCTGTAGTGCAAACCAGGCTTGTGCAGAGACATAAGCGCAGTTTGGGTGGAGATGAGATCTGACTGTTACAGAGTGCATTTAGAGCAGCTCTGCCACAAATCTAATTTCCAAAGGAAGGACAGGCCAACCCTCAAAACCAGAGCTCTCATTCCTCCTTTCATTTCCTCTCATCCCCTCACCCTTCTCTCTGCTCTACTTGCTCCAGCCTAACTGGTCTCAAATGTAATTTTTTCCCTCTCTGTCCTCTACACACCCAATTTCACCCCTCTAACCTTTCATACTTTCTCTCCCTCCACCTCTCCTCACTCATGCTGTTCCCCTGCTTTCAACACTGTATGTGCAGCTTTTGGTGTCTGCTGTGACTCTCATAGCACAGAAGCTGCTCCCTTCCTCCAAATAAATTTGCTTTATTGAAAGTCATTATTTACCGCCATCATCGCTGAGGAAGGCTCCCTTAGGTGAGTTAGGGATGTTGCCCCATCTGCTGTTTGGCTTGGGGAAGTCGCGATCTGTAGACCGGGTCTCCTCATTGTATCGCCAGTATCTGCACACAGACAATAAATATGTATTAAGGCACGTAGAGATTCACACAAAATACAGTGTCTGTTTTAGATATGGATGGTAATATTATTTTTGGCTGGACCACAGAGGTGAGGCCAGCCCCATAAATGTGAATGTCTGTCCAGAACAGAAGAGGGGAGAAGAGGGTTGTGTTAAATCAAGACACAAGCGGTTTGATCAGTGGGTGCAGCTCCAGAGAAAGCAGGTCCCTTCTGTGTACCGTTCTTCATTTTAACATGTATTTACATGAGTTTTTGGCTGCACCGCAACAACAGGAACAGCTCATGCCTACTCTGCAGAGAGAAAGTCAGAATGAATGTGCTAAAACGTTGTTGCATGTATCTGTGTCTATCTGATACTGTACCTGTCCCCACTGAAGAAGTATGTGTATCCATTGGGCTCCCACCAGATCGCTGTGTCAATCTTGTGTGCAGGAACTCCTCGTCCGTACTCATGTAAGGGTTGCGGGTATCCTGGCAGCACGTCAGCCTCCCTGAAGACCCAGTATCTATCATCTGCAGGGGGCAAAAGCATAGTTTTTTAACAGTTTATATCTGGCTAAGAGAGAGGAGAGTGTGAGAGAGATAACGAGGGAGAGAAGAAAAGCAGGGAGAAAAAGCGATGGCCAGAACATGTGGCATATGCCATGGGGTTTACTCACTCCAGAAGAAAAGTAGAAGGGACAAGCAACGTAGAAATGGTAGGCATAACACTTATTTTCCAAGGTTCCCTCATGTGAGAGCCAATTTCTCCTCTAACCTTAACCTTTGGACACACTTTTCAACCACTTTCCACCTCCACTGCCAGGGCACTGCTGAATTGCAACATACTGTACTGAACTTTAACAGCAAAGTTTGTGCACAGGGGCTTCTACTAATTGGTGCACACTTACTTTGAAATGCTGTTTTAAACGTTTTGTTATGATGTTATGTCTAGTACAGTATTTTGGATCCATTTGGGCAACATTTCTGCAGGTTTTGATGCAGGAAATGTGTTCCTCAAAATCAACTTGTGGAGCTTTTCAACCTCTCAAGAACATGACCAGAAAAGACAACAGATGTTAATGAGTGTAAATTGAGTCATGTCAGTTTTCTTTATATAGTCTACAATCTCAAATTTGCCTCAAGGGGCTTTACAATCCGTGCAGCATCCTCTATCCTACCATGCACCATTCAGATACGAAAAAACTCAAACCCTTTAAAGGCCTAGTTTGTAGGATTTAGTGGCATTCAGCAGTGATGTTGCAGAACTGAAACTTCTCCCATTTGCAAAGTGTGTAGGAGAACTATGGTGGCAGATGCGAAAACACAAGCCACTGCTTGGTTTGTCTATTCTGGGTTACTGTAGAACAACATGATGGACTCCATGGAGGAGGACTCACCCCGTAGCTCATTCTATGGTATTAAAAACACAAGAATTCTTAGTTTCAGGTGATTATAAACAAATAAAAACATAGTTCTGGATATCATATATGATTTTTTCCAATAGATACCCCAAAAACCTACAGACTAGACCTTTAACTGAGAGTAAAAAACAAACTGATCAAACTCTCAGACAATCCTGAAAATGCATGACAAAAACTTACTGTAAAAGTGAAAGCTCTGCAGCTGTTCACATCTGAAGCAGTGCACTGCAGAGAAGGCTGATGCAATCCTCCACCTCTCTCATGAGGCCTATTGGAGCTCAGCTGGGGCGAGAGTGTCATACTGGGCAAGCAACAGCCGCCACGATGCACAGGCCTCATTCAAGACAGCCAATGAGCTCAGCGACACACACTAATACACACACGAACTCTGTGATGCAGTTACACACACATGCAAAGACACACAGGCTCAATAGTCTCCACCTGCCGCCATATTGTCACAATGTTTAAACAGTGAATCATTATTTTCCTGTTCACATAACTTCCAGTGTTATATTTCCGTGCGTGAATGTGCCAGATACTGCGAGTTATAGCTGTGTTGAATTATTACCATATCCTCATAAATCACATTGTGTGAGGAAAAGAAATTGCTGAGTTTGCGCTGTTTCCTTTCAGTCTGACTGGTTCAAATCAAAGTGCAGATTTGTGTTTCACTCCCAATTTTATATTTATGGAACACACTCTTTAACAGCTCCACGCTGGCTTCAGCTTTGCTCAGGGGGGAAAATAGCTGAGAAAAACTGCGGAAACTAACCAGCCGCTTGCTGTGCCCTTAAGCAAGGCACTAAACCATAAAATAAACCTCTGCGTGATCTTCCAAGAAGGGTTTGACGTAACACAACACAGTCTGCTCAGCATGTGGCCGCTGTGTTATCGAAGTGACAGCTTTTATTAGTAATAAAAAGCTTTGGCATACCTTTAAAGAAGACAAACTTGCCATCGTGGCGCTCATAGGCTGCGTCGATGTCGCTAGGCAGGCCGATCCAGAAGACGGATATCGGCATGGGGTAGTTATCTAAGACACGGTTCCTTCTCACACGCCAGAACCAGCGGCCCTGCACAGGGAAGTAAAACAATGATGTTTATCTTTCATCAAGATTATTTATTATTCAGTTCCCCTTGCATGACCTGAATGTTGTTTGGACTCTAAGCGGGGTCATGTTAGTTCACAGATTTATACATGTCCTTTTATGGAGGTCAGGGGTTGTAAAAACACCAACAGCATGTGGAAAATTATTGCTGTCTGATCTGAAGCAACCCATTTAATTGTACAATGCACAAATATGATCAATAATTCTTTACGTCTCACCTTGAAAACAAACATCTCCCCCCTCAGCATGGTCACCGTGTCAAAGTCCCCATCACAGATATTGGGGGGCTGGTTGCCTGGCACCTTTGGGGGTCGGGGAGGAGCAGGGGGCCGAGTAGGTGGGGGAGGAGGGGGGGCATCCTTTCTAACGTGCGGGGTGACAGGTTCTGGCTCAGGCTGGTAGACGGTGGTAGTGGTGGTGGTGGGGAGGACAGGAGGTGAGGTAGGCGTGGGGCTTGTCTCTGGCTGGGCTGGGGGTTGTGGGCTGCTGCCGGTCGGGTTGGGTGATTCAGGTGGGGGGTCGGTGGGAGAAGTGGTGGGTTCATCTTCGGGTGGGGAGATGGGGGAGTCATCATCGGGCTCGTCGTCAGGGGCAGGAGGAGAAGTGGGTGGAGCATTAGTGGGGAGAGGGGGACCTGCGAATGAAAGATGGAGAGCTTGGGCTCAGAACGAGAAAGAGAAACTTATACAGTTTAGATGGTTTGTTTTTCCTCTCGTATTTTTATGGAAAATGCAAAAACAACTTCCATCTGAAATGAAATAAATTCTTCCAGCCCGTCTGTGTGGCATGAGACATCAATCATTTCTTTTAGACTCTCCTCCCTTTCCCTTGTGTCCTCTCTATCTCTCCCTCACACAAGGAAAACCTAATTTTCCGTTATGTGCAGCAACCATAAGGCCACTTGACTGACTGCAACTGTGCTGCTGCTCTTTGGAAAATTCAACCCTGCTGGTTGCTAAGAGAAGAAAACACACAGATACAGCCAGTTATGTAATGAGTACGGACAGCTGATGGGCTTGAAGACGTATTATGTTACGCTGAGCCAAAAATACTGCTTGGAATATATGAGGGTTGATGTGACTCAGCTATCAGTATGTGGAGAAATTCAGTATTTGCAGCATTTTAACCTGCAGTACAGTCGACTGATACTGGATTTAAACAAGTCTCTTTTTCCAGCGTTTTAACGCAGCATTAAAGGCAATACAACAGTCTGTAAATTATGCGTAGCTATGCGTATGCATAGGGTTTTTTCTCAGCACTGGCGTCTTTTTTCAAATATTCCCATTAAGGAGTGAGTGTATACAGCTGCCTAGAGAAAAAGTGCTGCACCTACTTTTTTCAGAGCGCCTTTATTATGCGGCCGCTCTGAGCACTTGAAGTTGAAAATCACTTGACGCCGGTGACATCACTGCTGCTTTAGCTAGGCTACTGTCTACTGTCACTACGAAGACAGAAAAGCTCATGTTTTGGGAGCAGATCGGTTTGCGGACACTAGATGTTGCTGGTGAGTGTTGTGCTTTTTATCACCATTCTCTTTGTGGGCTAGAAGCCTCTGTTAATGTAGCATCTCGTTAGCTACTTGGCTAATGTTGGTGTCATGATATTGTTGTCACAGAACCAAAACCAATGTGCAGCACATCATTATTTTTTTTTTTTCAACTGAGTTCAGTGTCTTATGTGTGTTCTCAAATCTTTGTTTGATTCTGTGTCTTATTTTCCTCTCACACATAATGGACTCTCCCTTGGTATACAGTATACTGTGTTTTAGAGCCATGGAAAGCTCACTGCCTGATGAAAGACCTATTAGTTGGCTACTTTCATCACAGGACAAAAAACAACTCTTACCAGCTGCCCAGAGTGGAGCTGTGTCCATGAAGGAAACCACCTTCATGGACACAGGCAGTTCTGTTTATGTTACAAAAATACTGTCCTATCTTAACTTTTTTGGCCATTGGGAGCAGCAGAGCAAGCAGTAAAGACAAAATCAACATATCATTACCTTATAAAGTATTTTTGGCAAACATATTAGCAAAAGGTTGGCTTTGGCTGCTTGGTGCTGGGCAGGTAGTGTACAGTGGATTGTTAAAGCATGTGAGCTGAAAACAGCTGCCTGTTATGGCCAAAAAAGACACCGATGAGAATGAACCGAAAGAAGAAAGCTGCAGGCCGTAAAATCAAAACAACGTGCTGAAAGAGGCTAAAATGCTGCAAGGAGCTGGGGTGAAATCCGAGTTGGCAATGTTATTTTATCCATTGTTGATATAAAAACATTGATTAGTGCAGCTTTAAAGTAAATGAGGAAATAAGATTTAACTATATCTATAAATCATTTTAAACCTTCCCTTATGTTAGATGCTTCATGCTACACACAGACTTACACCTAGGGCTGCGCAATATGAGGAAAATATGTGATAACATTGTTGAATATCACAAAAACAATACGACTTGCAATGAATAAACAAGTCATAAAGTTTGCCCAGGCATACACAGTACCTGTGCTTGTGCCACGTCGTCTCTCCTGTATCCAAAATATTGCCAGATGGAGGACGGGGTATTTATTTAGGCATTCACACTTTTGTTTGCACCCATCTTGCCACACTTTCCTCCTGTAGTAAGGCAGCACTATTCTGATAAACCTCATTCACATGTGTGTAGATTCTGTCCAATGACACGTTGCCTAATGGCAGGGGCTCTTTCTGATTGGCGTGAAAGTTAACAGCACGGCGCATATCAGACAAAACAGCACATACAGATAGAATGTAATTTAAGATGTTGTTACTGGTATATTCAAAGTGCAATATCCCAGTCTTTCACGATGTGTTGACATCACGATGACAATAAAAAAACAATATATTGTGCAGCCCTGGTTACAACAGAATTGGTGTATAGTAAGTAAGTATTTGGTAACACTTATAAGACTCGAAGTCTCTCACTGAAATAGTTAAGCTTTAAGTCAACAGATGAGTAGCTGGTGAGGAAAAACTGACCTGGGAGGCAAAGCTACCGGTCTCTCACATAAAAACCTCTACAAAAGAACCCAAATGTTTATTCCGAGCAACAAAGTTTATGCTGTGTAAGTCTCTATTTAAACCCTTCAGATCCTTTTTTCAGATGCAATCAGAGCCTTTCTCTAGCACAGTCCTTCAGATCTGTGTGATAAAGTGAACTACTGTATAATTTCAGGCAAACATTTACCTTATAGTATTTACAGCAGCAGGATCCAGTTTGCCAAAGCTCTAGTTTACTCTGGTGAAAATGTTCAGTGTAGGCGTATCAATAGGCCAGAACTGTGTGGGTATGGAAAGACTGGGGGTTTTCAGGGCAAACTAAAACCATAGACAGCATTCTCAAACTGAATTAGATTTTTTATCTGTTATGTGATACCAGACACCAGGACAAAACAAACAAAAGAAAGAACATGAACCTTGCGGAAAATACTTAAAATACTTATTTTTGTCTGCAGAAATGATAAATCAGTCATTCAGTGTAAACAATGTCTGTTATGAATCTATGTCGGCAGTTTAAGAGGAGACAAATGAGTGTTTGGGCCTGTAATTACAGCTCTTATAACAGGGCTGCAGCAGAAGCACACCAACACATATTGTACATGCAGTACACACTAATACACACACTTTCTCTAGCCAACATGCAAATACACACGCACACACACACACACACACACACACACACACACACACACGCATGCGCACAAACACAAAGATGTCATCTGTCAGTAAATAACAATGCCATCCATTCATGCAGGGAAAGCCTGAGAACATCATAACGGCATGCATGATATGCTGTTTGGAGCGAGGTTTGGCTGTGTGTGTGTGTGTGTGTGTGTGTGTGTGTGTGTGTGTGTGTGTGTGTGTCTGTGTGTGTGTGTGTGCGCACAAAGCTTCTTTGCAAGGCTTCTTGTCTTCTTTTGACGATTATCCAGATGTGATACGAGTGCAATAAAACCTCAAATTACAGCTGACCGTCTGCACTTCAACCTCACAGTGATTTCAGAGCCACAGCAGTCTGAGACTGCAGTCAAAACATAAAAAACATTCACAGTTTTGTTCTGAGTGTCCCTGCAAGGGCTGGAAGATGATAAAAATCCAGTTTTGTTGACAAGGGTGATAGCATTTTAGTTGTGGATACATTTTAGATATGTCATGGCCAGGACATATCTTATTTTCTGTTTACATATACAGTGTTTATAGTGTTGAATGTTCATATCAAATGTGGTCAAAGTTTCAAATAATGAGGTAAACATATGTAAAAGTGACCCATGTGAGCTCAAACTTCAGGCTTCAGCCCATTCTGAATACTCTGTTTCCCAGGTTTTATTCTAATTCTGAGACAAGCTGACGTCAGCATGCAACAGATTTCTTTTTTATGGTCATCTGCTCCAGGCACGCTACTGCAAGCGTGTACATTACATACCATACACTGCTACATGTAGCTACACGCTAACGTCATGGAAACGTGTAATCTTGGCTCCCGATGATCGCTGTAGGATCGTATTCCTGCTATCATATGTTATGTCTATTCTCTGTAATGGTAATTTCCGACAGAGACTCTGAAATGCACAAGAAACACAGACCAATCAGAGCAGACCAGGCTTTATCTGGAGCAGGTCTTAAAGAGACAGGCACTAAAGCGTCTCAGACAGAGATTGAATACAGGTGTTCCAGCACAGACTGTATGACCATTTAAGTATGTCAACGTGTTCTGGTAGAAACCCAAAAGCCTAGTATGAACCCGAAAATGAGCACAATAGGTCCCCTTTAAATAAATATTGTTGAAAGCATAAATAAACACAGTGATGTCAATAGGTGTATCATTACAAGGGTGTGCTTCTTACCATATATGTACTGTATTCCTTTGATGTCATCCTCATGTAACGTGAAATTGTGTGTGTGAATCCACTGGTAGAAAGGCGCCATTATGGCACTGGGGTTATCTGAGTGCTCCATACCCAAAGCATGACCAAGCTCATGGACTGCAACCAGGAAGAGGTCTATACCTGCAAGACAGACAATGACACTTTTAGCATGTACACACATATATATATATATATATATATATATATATTTGTCAAGCGTTGTGATTTCTAAAAAAAATGTCAATTGGAAAAAAAGCACACTGCAAACAGAGTTGTGCTGTGTTCGACATGCTGAAAAACGCAGTTACCCATCTATTGCAGCAAACCAGAGGTGGTGCTGATTGAAAACCAAGACTCTTTCAACTGTGGCTTCTGTGCAATGATCAGCAACAGTGGCTGGTACTTCTCATCAAGACAAAGTTCTTTTGAAAAACTAGTCCCTAAACTCAGACAAACATTACAAGTGATCACACAGGACCACCCACTGATACTCACTAGATTAAACAGAACATACAGTAAATATCATAGATGAATCAAAGAGGCACTTTGTTGTACAACGAGGAACGTTTCTGAATCAAACAAGAAGAGCTGTTTCACCATTTTGCAAATCACGACATGAGGAATACATTTAAATTAAATTAGGCTAATACATTATTTAACAAGCTAATCAGCTGACTAGATTTTATTTGTACGGCATCACAGCAAGCTGACAAAGAAATCTTATTTTTTGTCATCAACATATACCCAGTGAACCTTTCAGACTGCAGCCCAGTTGACCAGGAAAGGGAGGACTACGGATGATCGCAGCGAATGATTAGAGAAACTCAAATCTCATTACAAGAAAATCACAGGTTCATTTCCCACAAGAAGAAGAAGAAGAAGAAGAAGAATCAACTCACTAACCTTCAGGGTTTTGGTTGTCCAGTGTCCAAGGCTCATCAGCATCAAAGTGTGTATCCCCACCTATCCCTGGTCCGGGATAGTAGGCGTGAGCCAGTGACCCTCCCTCGCCATCAAACAACGACATGTCACCGTGGAAACCAGAGGCAAACAACAACAGGATGTCAGCGAGCTCTGCCTGGCTGCTGTTGGTGCTGATGTTGTTTTCAGCAGGTAACTCCTCAAAGGTGAGCGGCGTGACCTGTTGCCACGTGTTAAAGGCCTTACGGATAGCATTGTATGTCTGCTCTTTGCCCAGTGAAGAGGGGATGTGTTGGTTCATTATACTGGAATATAAAAAAGAAAAAGCATGTTAGAGTTGGTATTTTAAACATTCTGCTCTTTTGTTGTCTTACTTGTACATCTCAGTGCTATAAACCTGTAAGTGATGTGATCTTTGCCCCAGTGCTGTCCAGTGAGAGCGTAGCGTTTCTTCCTTGCTCCTTCATCCAACTCATCCGCTTTTCTGTCTGGAAGGCCGCAGCGAGGCCGACGCATGGCCCTACACACACACACACACACACACACACACACACACACACAAACTACATTACGAAAAAAGTACTACAAAATGCAGCTTGCACAGGTAATATAATGAGTGTTTTCTCAAGGCCATCAGCTCAGCCTTTATACTGTATGCTTTGGCTTTTATGAATGGTAATTCCTAATCTCTTTTCCAGACTCCTCACAAAGCTGAAAGGATTTTTTCAGCCAGGACTTTAGTGCAACATCTCTGAAAACTGAAGATGTGAAAAGGCCAAAACCACAAGACGAAAATCCATTTGTCATGTTGAAGGAATAGTTTGACATTTTAATACAGTTATTCAATTTCTGTCAAGAGTTAGATGAGAAGATTCATGAAATAACTGTAGGCCTACTGCAAATATGAAGCTTATAGCTTAGCATAGCTTAGCTATATAGCTTAGCTTAGCACAAAAACTGGAAACAAGAGGAAACAGCTAGCCTCGCTCAGTCCTAAGGTAACAAAATCTGCAAATGCGTCTTTTTTATGCTTCAGTTTTTGTGTGGAATAAACAAACAAGACATTACATGTTAATTAGTGATGTGTTTGTTGATATTGTTACCTTTGCACTGAGCTAAGCTAGCTGCTTCTCCTATCTTTATGCAAGGCTAAGCTAACCTGCTTCTGCTGTTAGCTTTATAGTTAGCCTATAGACATGGCAGTGGTATCAATCTCAGCAAGAAGGCGTATTTCCCAAACTGTCAAACTCTTCCTTAAAGACCTTGTTATTTTTCCATAAAGCTCACAGTCACTGTACACTGAGAACAAAGGTCTAATAAAGGGACTCAAGGTCACAGCTGAATGTGAGGATATGACACAATAGACTGACTAGCCTCATTAATCACAGTGTGATATAAGCCAAATTAAACTTTAACCCAAACCTTATGGGCATAAAAAGTCAAGCTGGCAGTGTTTCAGCAGCCCCTGGTGATGCAGACACATTAATGTGACAATGTTATGATGTGATGGGGAAAAGCCAGTGCTCTTAAACAAATTGCTTCAGGATGCTTGGTTGCTGAGTTGAGGTTTGTTGCTCAGAGATCTCAGATGACAAACTGAAATCTGTGGCCATGTATCGTTCCATCTATACCATACAAAACATAAATAATGAGAAACTTAATTTTTTTAAAATGCAAATAAATGCCACATAAATTCCTACATCCCGCAAGATCACTGGGTTCACTTTGTGGTCACTGCACAGAAATGGTAAGTTATGTCACATGTTATTGAGACAAACATCCTGTAAGGTTAGAAGCACTGATACAGAACAATGTGGAGCTTACACAACAGTAGCAGGATCCATCTCTCCGGTCACCTCGAGGCCATAGAAGCGCTGCATGTCGCTGATTGCTTTGGACAGGATCTGAGCCGACTGCATGGTGGACATCTGACTGCTTGCCTGTGACAGGTAGCCAAACTTACGAAGCCATGCCTGTGAGGAGAACGTCAGTTTTGCTGAATCAGTCTTGGTAAAAGTTGCTGAACACTTGTGTCCGTTTCTGATGCATGGTGTTCATGTGTATGACAGCTACAACTGTAACGCTAATCCACTGTCTAATGACTGAAGAGAGCATCCGAGGAGTTAAAAGAAAAGAGAAAGTAGAGATAGAAACCAGATGGCTTCCATTAACATTACGACATTCCTGTTCTCTCATTCCTGCGCCCTCTCCTCACTGACAGCCAAGATGAGGAGAGGCAAACAGAGGAAGAACTGGAAACAGGAAAACTAAAGGACATTAATTTAACTGCATGTCACTACTTTAGCACACAAAACAAACAAAAAACTCTGCATGTGTGCACTTCAAATGATGGTAGAATGCTGACAGAGCTGAATTTCCCCTCTTTGTTTCATGTTTGCTGACAGTGAAATTGAGCGTGTAGAGCCACGTAGCCGGGCAAACAGCATGAAGGCTCCTGGGGGGGGGGCCTCTGTCAAGTTTGGAGTTCTACCCTTTTAGAAGCCTCGGCAGCAGAGATAAAAAACAACTCCACAGGCCCTCTCACACAGCTGGATCATGGGACTCATACCTTCATGCCTTTACAGGATGAACACAGGCCAGGGGCAAAACACACACACATGAAACACACAAAGACATCATGCATGCACACAGTCAGGGGCTGAACACACACTCAGACAGAGAAAATCCTCAGAAAAATTTCTGCATAGCATGACAAGTCCCAACATTAGTGAGCTTTTTCACATGAGTGCCTGGGGAACATGAAAGAAGAGAAGCAAAACCACTGTAAGTCATACCTGAAATCATATATATATGATATTCTGATGTCTATATAAACCACAACACAGGCTTTTTACACATATAAATCAAAACCTTTTTTCTTTACTTCTTTATAAACAGGTTGCTCACTGATGGTAGCCTCCCTATTAGACATCTATAATCAGGGTATGGACACTAAATAACAAACTATACTGCCACTGTAAACAAATATAAAGACACTTTCAAATGTTTATTAATGCATTCATCAACAACTTCAACTTCCATCCATCTGTAACTGATGTACAAACACATAGTGAATATTTGATAGCACAGTTTCCAATTAAATTTTATGATATCCACATAAACCAATCATTACAATGTGTTTTAAAGCAGTTATTAACTGCTTACACATACACAAATAATAACAGTGTTCAAAAACATGTTAAAAACTCATGAGGGCATCATGAACTCAAAGTCCACTTACTAGCTTTCTTCAGAACTGTCATTATCTGTTTATGGAAGTTTCATAAGACAAGTAACATTCGACAAATACATTAAAAACACTTACACTGTCCTTTTAAATGTACGACTATGTTATAGTGTTATAAACAGTTAATATTCTCATTACAAAGTCTGCTAATAAATGCTAAATGCTTTCATGTGGATTCTGTTGAATTTAACAGGATATGATCGTCACGATATGATTCAATAACAAGAGTCAATAATGCTGGATTATTTTTAACCTTAAAATGAACTCTACCTTGTAACACAACACACACACTTGTGGCACATGGTCAAAAGGTCAGGTGACATCCCTGCAGTTCAACAGCACACCTGATGCTTTGACATTTTACCAAAACAAACATGAAGATTTGAACTTATAACCTTTTTATAGAGAGCTAAATTTCCACAAGCTGCAAACAGGATTTCCTTTAAGACACTTATTATGATAACTGTTATTTCATAAACTATTTATAAATAACAAAAATTGAATACTGTGACTTTTTACATGTAAAATGAGGTCTGTCCCCTGACCCACAGATGTTACTGTACCTCAGCATTGACGCCTTCTTCCTCTGGGACATCTGTGGCCGTGCTGCACAGGATCAGGGACAATAAGGACGATAATGTGATAATGATCTGAGTCCACGGTTGTTTGGATGCCATCTTCATCATCTTCATGGAAGATGCGGTGACAGAATACAGCCAAACAACTTTCCTCCGGCCGGCAGGGATACAGGACAAAGTGCTGTCGGTCTTATTCTCTTCTGAGCTCCGCAACAAAGTCAGCTATCTGCTCATTTTTGGAATTGCAACATGCCACCAACTATGTTGCGCAAATAAAGGTGCATTTACAAACCGTCGGAAAAAACCCCACTTGAATCAAGATGGTATTAATCCAATCCCGGTTGCAGGCAGTCCGATATGTCCCGGCCCAGCAGCCTCATGGCTCATACAGCAGCTCCTTTCATGCATGCAGCTCACACTGTAGCCAGCGGGCATATAAACTAGACCTTGCCCCCTTCCGACGTCCACAATGGCTGATGAGCAGCAGGGAGCTACAAAGAAGAAGTCCTGCAAAAAGTCTCCTTCCACTTAGTGCAAACACAGCTCACTAGTAAGCACACAAAAATGTCTCTTCTTAAATTAAAAAGTTTCTGAACTTGCTGCGTAAAATTGCGCACGACTAAAAATCTTCAGACAACCAAGTACCAGGGTTTTAAATTTCAGCTGCGCTGTGTGTCCCCAACAAACCTCTCCGACATTAACTCCGATTTAATCTGAAGGGAAACGCGTTGTGTACATATTTGAGAGCACCATCAAACAGCTGTCTATAAAAGATTTCTAATGATTTCATGAGAAGAGAGGGCCCTCCTCCCTCCTCACACACACACCTGCAGCACAGGGTCAGTGCGCCACCTGCTGGTCTTATAGGACACTTCAGTCACACAGGAGCTGCTGCTGTTTATGGATTAAGAAGCACGTTTCTTTTAATGTGTGAAAGCATTTCATTTGATCCAGCATCCTCGCCGGTGCTTTTTAAATGCTACACATGAACTCAGGCAACACTAACTTTGTGTTAAAGCTTGTACTTACATTTAATAGTTGGCATACATTATACAAGACAACACAACTGTCATATTGCCTTGTTGTAGCAGATGATAGCTCAGTTTAATTCAGTACAGGACAGTGAGTCAGCATGCACAATACCAAAGTACTTAAGTTACACCTGTGATTTTCCTGCTATGACACATTGTTCTGCACGTTTAATCTGCCTTTAAACCCTGTTTAGGTGCTGTGTAATGAATTTGGGATGGTCCATGGGATATATTAATATTTGGGATGCTGTGTGTTACATAATATTTAAGGTAATGCATATTTTTGCCTCTCAGGAGAAAGGTTTTCTGCAGAAATGTTCTTCTGTCCTCATGCTGCAGGATTTAAAGGTTTACAGAGCTCTTAAAATCTTTTAATTTTCTGATTTTAATATACTACTCTTCTCTCCATTGTCTGTCTGTTGGAATGATTTATTTTATATATTACACTATAGCATAAATCATTGTTTGATTTTCTGTTGTATTTCAGCACTATATAGAGTATGTTATACGAAACTACATTTTACCTCTAAGGAAATCTTGAAATACTGTTCCTTCTAATATTAAATATTTGTGTGGCTTAGCAGCAGCAGAGAAAGAATCCAATAAAAGCAAGCAGACTTTGACGATTTACAGCCATATTGTTGCTTTTATCAATTTACATGCAAATGTTCCCAGACATATATTTTTCAGTCTATTAAATAAAATACATTGTGGTCAGCAGACAGCAATGGAACTTGATTTTGTACGACTTATTGCATAGACTTAACTACACATCTTCTAAAACAAGTCTGTATATCATGTATGCACTGATGGCAAATGTAGTTTCTAATGACAATGGAAATATTTCCTCCAGTATTTTAAGATAAAATAAAACACCATTTTTTTCTGAGAATAGAAACTTTCATTGTTGTTTAAGTGTTTCATTTCTCTTAGCAAATAAAAGCCTTCCCCCCTGGGATCTTCTCAGGACCTGCAGTGGGTAATGCAACTCTCATGATCTTCAATTTGTTTAAACCCAAATAAAAAAGGATTAAACCAACATGGTGCTTACTGAGGTAATTTAAGGGACCTAATTTATGAAATATTACGTGCTGACTCAAACTTGAATTTGCTGTTAAAAGTAAAGGTCAGCATGCCTTATAACCTTAACTTTGGTCACATTTTTGTCCTGTTAAAAACTTAGCTGAATAACCCTGCTGTGACACAACACTTGTTTTGGGAAAGATGTACCAGGACAGAAATAAAAAGATATGGACACTTTTTAAAGTTTTATTCTAGCTGCCCACAGTAGCAATACTTTCATCAGTGCTCCCCCATTGGTGCCAGCCTCCTGCTGCCTGCCTTGGCTACAGTGATGAGGATGATAAGGAAGAAGCCTACAGTCCAGACACCTGCTACAGGCAGCACCACCGTTGTCAGTAAGCCTGAAACACAAGCCAAAGAGATAATTGTGGTCTCACAGTGAGAAAGTATCACTGAAAAAAACAGTGACAAATACACAGGAGCTTACTGGACTGAGGTCTGTCTGGCATTTCAATCCTGATGGGTCCATATGAGAGGAGGCCCAGACTGGGGTCTGCTCTCACCGCTTCTCTCTTAGTGATAGAATTACAGTTCTGTAGAGACAACAAAATCAATCAAGACATGAGGAAAGTGAGACTGAAAAGACTGAAAAAAAAATAACAGGCAAGACATTAAATCCTTCATATGATACAGATCCTTCCAAGGGTAAGTAGAGGGCATTATATGTCCATTTTCACAGTTATTTTCTTAGGGTTAAAGGGACACTTCAAAATCAAATATACATATTTTTCTTCTAATCTGTAGTGCTAATCATTATTGAGTTGCTGAGTGTTTGAGGTATCAGCCGTGGAAATGTTTGCCTTCTCTCCAATATAATGGATGGACCTGGTTACTCAAGATAATCCACAGACCTTGTTGTGAGCAGTTTCATGTAGGAACTATTTTATTCCTTCCAAACTTCACCTGCCACCCGTATCACCATGCAGAAGGAAGTGTGCATCTACTCATGGACGAGAGGCTTGTGCTTGTGACAGTGCAAGATGTCAACATTAATGGCATCCTCCTCAACTGAGCAGTAACATTAGCTAGCTCAGTGGTGTGAGGTGAGCTAGCAGTAAAGGCACGCTTCCTTCTGTGCGGCGATACTGTTAGCAGGTGTTGTTCGGCAGAAAGAAGATAGCTCCTATGTGAAACTGCTCACAACAAAGTCTGTGGATTATCTTGAGTAAACAGGTCATGATTGCTGGAAGAAGAGATTGCGGTTGAGTTTTTCCAAATGTATTTTTTGGCGCATTGAGCACCACAAGCTGAGTGCCATCAAGTTCCATTATACTGGAGAGAAGGCACACATCTCTACGGCCGATATCTCCAACACTCAACAACTCACACCAAAGCAATCTAGACTGATAAACAGCACTACTAGTAAGAGGAAAAAAATATGCATTTGGGGTGAACTATCCCTTTAAAACAAGTATAATGCCTCAGGTTGCATCAACACCAGGTAAGTAAGATGAGTGTGCTCACAGGTGTGCAGGACTTGGGGTCATCTGGCTCACACAGTTGAACAGTGCAGTGTAGATAGAGCTCGTGAGGTTCTGTTGTGAAACGAAACATGTCGAAGCTGTAGCGAATGGTGGAACTCTCTCCATTATGGCCAGACTGTCCCATGCTCGTGTTAAGAAAGGAAACAGTTCTGTCGTTCACACACCTGAATAAAGAGATGGAAAAGAGGAGTAGGAATGACTTGACTGGAGTTCATATTAAGTGAAATGAACTGTGGATATTGAGAGCTGCTGTTACCCATTCAGAATCAGAGTGTGAACCAGTTCCTCTGTAGTATTCGGCTGGGCAAACTGTGTGGCCCAACACTCGTTAATCCGCAGCAGGAAGAAATCTGCAGGCTCTGTGACCGTCACCTCCACATACACCTGGACACATAAAACCATCGCTGACATGATACTCCAAAATGATATTATTTGGTTAAACTGAGGAGCGTTACCTTGTCTCTGAGTTCAATGGTGGGGGCACTACTGTAGGCCTCAGAGTAGGATTGGTCAGTGTACAACATCATCTGTATCGTGGCATCAAGTTCATCTACACGCATCACCGTCTCGCTGTGTACAGAGAACAAGCAAGAATAAAAAAAAAAACGGTCTGGTGAGTGCACAGCTTCAACTCTGAACTTCTGTAATTTTGTAGGGCACTGCTTATGTATAAATTAGTCTGCTATCTTCCTCACGTGGAAAAGGGGATGATTGGGAAAGGCAGGCTGACTCTTCTGATGTATGGATAGAAGCATGTGAAGTCCATCTTAATGACTGGATCTCTGATGATGTTTCCAGTAACGTGAGCATCTGACAGTAGACTCAGAGAATAGGAGATGTGAGTGAAGTTTTTCTGTAAGAAGGGGGGGGGAAAAAAAGTTGACAAGAACAACTGTTGAAATCATATTTTTACACTGAACAACAGTGACAGATTTGTGCCTGGCTTTTAAGATTTAATTGCTTCAGTCGTACCTCCAGTGGCTTGCCTCCGCAGGTTACATATTTGTCTTTAGATATCTTGGATAGGTAGTACGGCACACCGTTGATGACCTTTCTCTGAGCACGGCAAGATTTGTTGGGCAAGTGCAGAGACTCCAGTGGCACCTTGTGATACCTGAAGAAATCTTCTATCACTCTGATTCCTATGAAGTCTTTGCTGCATATTACTTTGATGTGCGCATCTATAAAAACAAAAAGTAAGGCTTTAGTAATTCACATACTGCATGTCAATTTTTTGCTCACATGTAATTTGTAATATGCTATTAGGTTGTAACTGTTAAATGTTGTTCAAGTAGCCTACAGTAATCTGAATTAGTAAGAAAAGTTAATTATCAGCTTTAGTCAGGTAAAGCAATATTTTAGTAGTTCAAGGGGATGCACTGGTGCAGCAAGAAGTCTGGGGGAAAAATTGCTTGTAATATAAGCTTCAAACTGTTATCAATGTGTTGTTTAAATGCTCTGAATAATAAAATTCAACACAAGTTCATTGAAGCGGCCATATTGTTTCCACATAATGATGCTCATGAACACTGAGGAACAACTTCTCAACTCAAGAAATGGGATCATCTGAGGAGTACATGAATACAGCAATTTAAAAATGCAGTGTGAAAAGCCTTGGAAAGGGTCACGCTAAGATGATGCTACCTGTTGCATTATGGGAAATGTAGGATCTAATGTTTCTAGACTGAGGATTAGCATGGTGGTCCCTGTTTTTTGTTTTTTTTTTTAACCATTTTTAAGCTGTGTCTGCAAGCTTTAGGGGCATTGCTATATTGCGCAGGTCCCCATTTAGAAATTTTACTTTCATTTCATGGTGACTCTAAACTCACAGCTCCTTTTGTGACACATTAAAACTTTTCAGGTAGAGTAAATTGTAAGAACAGAAACTGTGCCTACTTTTGTCACACTGGTCAGCATAATACCCAACTGCACATTTGCAGCTTCTTTGGTCTTTAGACAGAATACATCTTGTGCGGTCAGTGCAATGCTCCACACTGCAGACACCTGCACAGTAAACACAGTAACGTCACTCTTTATACATCCAAAAGCTACAACATTTAACATTTTAACACAAGTAGACAGTCTTACCCTCAACTCGGTGGCGCGTGAAGCCAGCGAGAAGCACGAGGACCACGCTCAGCTGGTTGAAGAATTAACATTTCCACTTTAACAAT